CACTAAAAGGAAGATAAGAAGTGCATAGAAAAAGGGTGAAGTCACTGGTCTGGAAACAGAATGCTGCAGTTGACTGGGTGCCAACCCCTAGGAGGCACTGGCAGATGGGGTGGCAATGGTGGGAGTGAGAGCATCAGCAACCAACACAGGAAAGATGGAAGTTCTTTCTTAAACAAGTCTTCATTACCAAAGCTTTAGATAGAAGAATATTGGAGAGAGGGTATTTTAACTTAGGACAAAATACAAACAGATGTATTTTAGAGTCCCATTCACCTGAATTCTAGAGAGAATAGAAAAAAGATATATTTAAGAAATAGTGTATTTATTTATTTATTTATTTATTTTTGAGATGGAGTTTTGCTCATTACCCAGGCTGGAGTGCAATGGTGCAATCTCGGCTCACCACAACCTCCACCTCCTGGGTTCAAGCAATTCTCCCGCCTCAGCCTCCTGAGTAGCTGGGATTACAGGCACGTGCCACCATGCCCAGCTAATTTTTTGTATTTTTAGTAGAGACGGGGTTTCACCATGTTGACCAGGATGGCCTTGATCTCTTGACCTTGTGATCCACCCGCCTCGACCTCACAAAGTGCTGGGATTACAGGCTTGAGCCACCGCGCCCGGCCGTGTATTTATGTTTTGAATGTAAATATTTCTTCTTAAATATTGAAATTAAGCCAACCCATACCTATTTCTCTCTCTCTCTTTCCCTTTTTCCTCTTTCTTTTCAGAGAAGCATCATTTACTGAGAAAGTGACCACTAGATTTTTCTTTTTCTCTAAGAATGATGAAAGACTTCAAGGTCAGTCCATTTTTTTTTTCATCAAATTACAAACATATAACAGGTAATACATATCGAGAAATTCTGACCCTTGGTAATGTCATGTGGTTTAACCCTGTTTGTTCACACTGATGAATGTTAACTTTCGATGCTGTCAAGGACTGAGAGTTCCCCACTCACCACTTTCTTTGCCCACTCGTTCTCATCAACAAAGGCTTGTATTGTTCCAGGGAATGCTTAGATGTTAGGCATACAAAACCCGTAAGGTTTTAGTGCCATAAAAGTCCATTTGAAAACTCAGGCTATTGGTGAACTAATTTCTTTTTTTTTTGAGACCGAGTTTCGCTCTTGTTACCCAGGCTGGAGTGCAATGGCACGATCTCAGCTCACCGCAACCTCCGCCTCCTGGGTTCAGGCAATTCTTCCGCCTTAGCCTTCTGAGTAGCTGGGATTACAGGCACGCACCACCATGCCCAGCTAATTTTCTGTATTTTTAGTAGAGACGGGGTTTCACCATGTTGACCAGGATGGTCTCGATCTCTTGACCTCGTGATCCGCCCACCTTGGCCTCCCAAAGTGCTGGGATTATAGGCGTGAGCCACCACGCCCAGCCAAAAAATACTAATTTTTGAAAATAGTTAAAACTTTAGGGAAAAGAGTGATCTTAACTAGAATTGGAGACTTTGATAATGCCAATACTTAGAATATTACCCATTTTAGAAGTAGTTTGCTGCTTCATGTTTCTTGTTTTTACCCTAGTAGGTTCTGACTTATTCTGGAGAGGAGTAGGAAGTTATATTAGTAGTAACTCTTGGGAGGTCAGAACAAACAACCTTCGTATGGTGAGTAATTGTTTCTCTATATGGATTATTTCATAAAAAATAGACATGTTGTTATCTATCTAGAATTACAGTGCTGGAAGGGAACTCATGAATGGTACAGGTGAGAGACTGCAGACTGGCTCAACTGAATGACTGGTCCCAGAGTCCAGCCAAGCCTATTAAGTAACAGGAAAGCATCAGATTTTTAAAGACTGAATTGTACTTCCCATTATAAATACATAATGCCAAAAATGCCAATATCCCTTCTTCATTTCAAGAGAGCACTTTCAAAATAGATTTCCACAACCCTAACAATGAGAATAACCTAAGTTTTACTTGTATCTGCTGAACATCTTAAAAACAACTTAAGTTTATTGTTAACAAAGTCTTTTATTTTTTTGGATATTCTAGGATTGTCGGAAGAAACATAAAGATGCAAAAAGGAAAGTGAAACCAAAATAATAAATGTCAGCATTGATTTTAATACTGAATGTGAACAAGGCTCACCTAAGAAAACTGACCCAGAAAATAGTTTTAGCTGACAAAAGAAGAAATTTCAGAGTGAAGGAAGTTTAAAAATCTCGATGGAATATCATTCTGGTTATCATCTTTTTCTATGGAACTCCTCTGAATTTCTTCTTAAGTAATTACTTCAAAAACTTAAATTCAACTTCTTAAAAAGGAAGCACAAGACAGACCTTGAAAATAGTTCCTGTATATAATCTCTTTGCCCTCTATTCTGAGTAATTAATGGTTATCTTCTCATCAAGGTTACATGAAGCCTTTTTTTTGTTAAGCCTTTTTAAATAAATGGGTCAAAGCACTTGTAGTTTCCAGCCTAGGCTTTGTGTGAATTATAGGCTATTTGAAATGTTTATTTCTGATTATGTCAAATACACCTTCCATTTTGTCATTTTTGTTTAAACTGATTAATTACAAGTCAACATTGAGTTTTATACTTGTGTTTTGGTGAATAGCTAACTGAAATATAGGACATTCAGGCCTACATCATGTAAGAGTTCTGTAAGGAACAGGAGAGGAAGCCACATACAGAGTTATCTTGTCATTGACCTCTAGGAATTAGGGAACAACAGCTAGATGCAGGCCATCCCAAAATTCTAGTTAGACCAAAAGCTTATGAAAAATACTAAGTGTCTGAAAGATGGGTAGTCACAATTAGGAGTCAGAACTCTCCCTGAGCCCAAATAGGGAAACATTTAATATTATATTAAATAAACCAACCTACCTAGAATTCAACACATATGTCTCCTATCAAAATGGGCTCTGTATGAAATAATATTACATAGGCTAGGCACGGAGGCTCATGCCAGTAATCCCAGTGCTTTGGGAGGCTAAGGTAGGTGGATCACTTGAGGTCAGGAGTTCAAGAGCAGCCTGGCCAACATGGTGAAACCCCATCGCTACTAAAAATAAAAAAATTAGCTGGGCATGATGGGTCACACCTGTAATCCCAGCTACTCAGGAGCTTGAGACAGGGAGATTGAGACTTGGTAGGGGATAAATTGTGAGGTGAATCCCTTGAACCCAGGAGGCAGGGGTTGCAGTGAGCCAAGATTGCATCACTGCACTCCAGCCTAGGCAACAGAGTGAGACTCCCTTAAAAAAAAAAAAAATAGTATTACATAGTTCCAGGGTGGTATCATTGAGCCATGATGTGTGTACCTAAAATTAGTATTTATTGATTTACCTCTGCAGAATATAAACTCTTTTTTTTTTTTTGAGACACTGCACCTGGCCATAAACTCTTAACTGTTGGGATTTCATCTGGTATGTTAACCATTATGTCCCCAGTGCTTACAACTGTGTCCTGTACATAGTGGGTGCTCAGTATATGTGTTTTTTTTAATAAAGGTCCAAGGAACTAAGTCGCTTCAAGAGTCATTCTGGATTCCTAGGTTTCCAAAACTTCAGACTTCAAGGAGAGTGGGGACAACTACGCAGCAAGATAAATAATTTACACGTTCCACCTTCTCCTGATATAGATAACATGTATACCTTATTTTCTATTGCTGCATAGCAAATTATCTCAGTAACATTCATTTTTTTTACTCACAAATAATGCAATTTGGTCAAGACTCACTAGGGACTGTTCATCTGTGCTCCCTGTGCTTTCATTGGGGTGGTTCAGCCAAGGCTACAGGATCTGCTTCTAAGATGGCCCAGTCTGCCTGTTCATGGGCTTCTTACAGCAGAGCAACAAAGCTCTAGGAGCAAGTGTTCTCAGAGGCAGGAAGCAGATGCTGTCAGTCTCTTAAGACCTGGGCCAGAAACTGGCTCAGTCACTTCACTGTATTCTACAGGTTTAAACTGACAGCCCAAACAGAATGAAAGGGAGGGGACACAGATCCTCACTTCTCAGTGGGGGAGTGTCAGAATGTGTGGCCATAATTTGAATCCAGCACATGCTCCACAAGCCAACAAATAAGTAACATCAAGCAGCCTTACCTATCCTCAGTTCCTGCTCCCCAGATAAAACCACCTTAAATTTAATTTCTCTAGCGTTTGTCTCCATGTTTCTACCTCCAGCAATTTAATTTATCTAGTATTTATGCAGACTTACTGCAATGATAATAAATATGCAGGCCAGGCGCAGTGGCTCATGCCTGTAGTCACATTTAGGGAGGCTGAGGCAGGCAGATTGCTTGAGCCCACGAGTTTGAGAGCAGCCTAGGCAACATAGCAAGACTCCATTACTACAGAAAATAGAAAAATTAGCCGGGCGTGGTGGTGCTAGCCTGTAGTTCTAGCCAGTTGGTCCCGGATGAGGTGCAAGGATCATCTGACCCCAGGGAGTGTTGAGGCTGCAGTAAGCCGAGACCGTGCCACTGCACTGCCTCGGCCTCCCAAAAGTGCTGAGATTACAGGTGTGAGCCACCGCGCCTGGCCTGCAATAAAACTTTTAAATCTGGTTGTCAGGCTCTTTCTTCTCTTTTGTTTTATCACTTCAAATGGCCATTTACGATCTGAGAAGCGACTTTGGGGTCACCAGCTCAGGCCCCAAAAGCATAATTATTGAAGTCACCTCTCGAGGTTGCTGTCTGTCGATATGAATTTCAGGTAAGAAGAGTCCAGTCAGATAAATACCGACAAATGTAAATAAGATAACATGAGCCCCGACCTAGCTGCTGCTTCCCTGTGGGCCTTTACCTACTCAGAGTTGCCCACAACCCGAGTGCGACCTCGGTCTACAATAATGGAACAGATACCAGCAGCACGAACACGGCAGCCCAGCCCTGCGCTCAGCGAGGGTTCCTATTCCTTGTGGAGCCGCAAAACCAGCAAGTACAACTGCGGCACCATCCGGACGAGAGGGCGTAGTCAAGTCCGGTGCAACGAATAGCCGCCTGGCTTGTTGGTAGGTGTCAGGCAGCGCGTATTGATTGGCCGGTGAGGAGCTAGGCTTCTTCCCTCGATCTCGCGTTGTCAGCGCGTTGCATCACCTCCGCGCGCCGGCTCATAGCTCTCTTGCCGGCAGAATTGCTGCTAGACTTGCTGGCCCGCGCGGCTATCCAGGTACGCGGGGACCCTCAGGTACGCCCATTCTTCCCTGCAGGATCCGGCCCTCAAAGGCGAGGGGCACGCACGCGTTACAACCCCAAAACAGTAGCACTAGACTTAATTTTTAAAAGAACGTGTTTCTTCAGGTCTTTCCTCTCGTTCATTTCCAGGCTGAGTTTATGGTCGCCTTTTTTTAATGAGGCGGTGTTTGAAATGAGTAAAATCTTTTGAAAAGGATACATTATACATAGTATCAGTTGGTACGGCTGTGACTTTATGTGTAGGTAATACGTATTTTTGTATGTCTTAGTTTATTATCTTTAAGGGCTGCATGATTATTTTATTGATGTACCGTAATTTGCTTTTCACTGTGAATATTTAAATTGTTTTCAGTTATTTGCCTGTAGAAACAATTATTCAGTGAATGTCACTGCATACGTATTTTGTACATTTGCGTGAGTATACCTGTGGAGCACATGTTCATAGGATATAACTAAATTGAGGAAAGGTTTGAAATGGTCCCTCCTTGAGGTTACATTTGACATAATTATGAAGCCCTGAGAATAAAAAGGGAAAACAGAAATGGATTTAGAGGAGAATGGAAAAGAAATAGACTTCTAGGTAGAATCCATATGACTCGATGATTAATTGGATGTGTCTGTCTTCTGATTAGTATCAGGATAACTCAGAAATGCATTGCCTAGGTAATGAGAAGAATATTGGAACCGCTAATACGGTAGAGTTAAAAACGGGAGCAACTGTGGAAAGAAAGATTATGAAATTTTAAACAAAACAATGGTTTTAGTTTGCGTTTCCGAAATATATCGAGGCGAAATATTATGAAGAGAATGTGAATAATTTGAAGGGGATGTTAAGGAGAGTGGTCTCGAAATTGCCGAACGGGAAGTTGAGGTTAAGGTGGCCTGAAGGAGTTGTGGAACAGGGAAGAATGAAGGGCCTGGATTATAAGAACAAAACAAAGGGGATGGCATCCCTCTGCACAACCTGGCAAGGTTAACCTACCCTGTCCCCTGCCCTGTGGTTGCTGGATGCTGTGGTGTATGTGCAGCTCTCCAGTGGATACGATGGGCCATAGCAATCCTGTGATTTATGCATGGAGGCTGCTTTTCCTCAGCAGCCGCCATAGCCCGGTCACTGGAACATGGTTCTTCCTGAATAGTCAATCCTGTTATACTGAGTCTTTATGCTTGGCATAATAGTGCAGTGATTTTTAATTTCGGAGGGAAAGCAGAGATTCCCTAAAAAACACTGTAAAAACTGAGTGAGCTGGCCAGGCACAGTGCCTCATGCCTGTAACCCCAGCACATTGGGAAGCCCGAGGCAAGAGGATCACTTAAGCCCAGGAACTGAAGACCAGCTGTGCAACATGGCAAAACCCTGTCTCTACAAAGAATACAAAATGAACAAACACACACAAAAAACTGGGTGAGGTGGTGCGCACCTGAAGTCTTAGCTACTAGGGAGACTAAGCTGGGAGGATCACCCAAGCCCAGGGAGGTCAAGGCTGCAGTGAGCCGTGATTGTACCACTGTACTCCTGCCTGGGTGACAGAGTGAGACACTGGGGAAAAAAAAAGTATGTCCTTCTTCTCAGAAAGCTTAAATATTATTTTCTCAAAAACAAAAATTCAGATAGACATTCCTGAATAGTTGTCAGAACAGTGCAAGAGTGGTGATGTTCAAACTTTGATGTGAATTTTCATTCCCTAGGGATCTTGTTAAAATGCAGGTTCTGACTCCTAGGTGCGAGGTAAGGCTGGTAAGTCTCCATCTGTAATAAGTTCCCATAGGCTGGGCACAGTGGCTCACACCCATAATCCCAGCCCTTTGAGGCCGAGGCAAGCAGATCGCAAGGTCAGGAGTTCCAGACCAGCCTGGTCAACATGGTGAAACCCTGTCTCTACTAAAATAATACAAAAATTAGCTGGGCATGGTGGCGTGCACCTGTAATCTGAGGCAGGAAGCTGAGGCAGGAAAATTGCTTGAACCCAGGAGGCAGTGGTTGCAGCAAGCCGAAATTGCACCACTGTACTCCAGCTTGGGCAACAGAGCAAGACTCTGTCTAAAAGAGAAAAGCTCCCATAGATGTGGGCCATTGTAGGACCAGCCTTGAAGAAGTGACAAAGGTCTTAGAAGTGATGAACGAATGTGTTGATATCTAAAGGTCTGTTAGTCTTCAGATAACAATCTCATAAGTTTCAGTTGGCCTCTGATAAGGTACCCAATGTACCTAAATAAATCAGTAATTGCACAAACACTTCTTTTGATCCTTGAAAGGCTAGAGGTTGTAATAAGAGTTGAACATCTAAAACCTTGCAATTTCTGTTTAATACTTATTGATGGTATACTGTGATCAGAAATAGCTATTTCAGTTAATTAAACAGCCCAACTGTTCTTATCCTGTTTTTTCTTAAACTCAGAAGCACTCACACATCTGAAAATTTAATGAAGGTGAAAGAAAATGAAAGGTACTACTTGTCACAGCCTTTTTTTTTTTTTTGATAACTTGAATCAATAACTTGCTTAGACTATGATGCTTTTGATGCTTTGAGAACTGTTTGATATATGTGTCTTTTTTTGTAGAGTTAATTACCCTGGACTGTTGTGGTTCTTGAGTACTTAAGGTTTTTTTTTATCTTCTCTGTTGTTCTCTTATTAGCAATTGTATTCCCTTGTAATCCACTGTTGACTTGGAAATCTTGCACCCACCTTGTTAGAATTGTTAATGAAAAATAGATTTTGGGAAGGAAAGGTCTCAAGGATGCTCTCTAGATGCTTAGGTCAGCTCACTAGATACTTCAATCACAGATATATCAAGTGTCTCTGAATGAGGTTATTAGCAAAACGTTTAAAAGACACTTTAAGACTTCTCACTAGAGACTAAACTTATCCTTCATAAAAATCATGAATAAGAAATAAAAAGGGTAAAATGGAAAATTGGAATCTATATTCGAATGTGAGATTAAAACTATACCAGTTTTCCTCAAAGAGAAGATGAAGTTATTTCAAGAGAACTGATTTCTGTCATGTGAGTGTGGGTAAGAAAATTCTTAAGAGATTTATTGAGATTTTTAGAGAGGTTACTTTGAGATTTTTTACTTCAGATTATTAATGAGTTTTTGCACCGTCAGATAGAATTTCCAGGATTTTCTTGCTTTTGGAAATATTGTCTACCATTACTGAATATTAAGTCATACCGAGTACCTTTCCCTCACCATATACAAAAATAACTCAATATGATTCTTGGTCTAAATGTAAGCTAAAAGTCTGTAACCTTGTTTAGGTAATGGTTTATTAGATGACACCAAAAGCTTAAGCAACAAAACCAAAAATAGACAAATTGGGCATCATTAAAATTAAAAATTTTTGTGTTTCAAAAATACCATCACTAAAATAAAAAGACAGCCCACAGAACAAGAGAAGCTTTTTACAAATCATATATCTGCTAAAGGATTTGTATCCAGAATGGATAAATAACCCTTAAAACTCAACCATAAAAAAGCCTAATTAGAAACTAGGCTAAGGATAAATAAATAAATATCTATCCAAAGTGGATACGCAAATGGCCAATAAGCACATGGAAAGATGCTCGGCATCATTAGTCTTTAGGGAAATGCAAATCAAAACTACAAGATACTATTTAACATCTCCCAGGATGACTGTAATCCAAAGATGAACAATAAGATGTGTTAGGTAGCATATAAAGACATTAGAATCCTTATTCACTGCTGAGGGAATGTAAAATAGTACAGTCACCTTGGAAAACATTTTGGCATTTTCTCAAAAAGTTAAATACAGAATTATGTGACCCAGAAATTCTGCCCCTAGTTACATACCCAAGAGAAATGAAATGTAGATCCACACAAAATTTTGTACATGAGTGTTCCTAGCAGCATTATTCACAATAACCAAAAAGTAGAAACAATACAGGTGTCCAAGAAATGATGAATAGACAAACAAAATGTGGCATATTCATGAAATGGTATACTACTAAGCTATCAAAAGTAATAAAGTATGAATACATGTTACATTGTGGATGAACCTTGAAAATGTGCTGGAGAAAGGGAACCAGTTACAGTAGGCCACATTTAGATGATTTATGTAAATTTTTCCATTTATATGAAATGTCCAGGATAGGTAAATCTATAGAAGCAGAAAGAAGATAAGTTGTTGCTACTGGCTATGGAGAAGAAAGAATGGGGAGTGACTGCTAATGGTCATGGAGCACTTTGGTGGGGAGGGGAGGTTGAAAACATTTTGAAATTACATAGTAGTAGTATTCGCTTCAGCAGCACATATACTAAAATTGGAATGATACAGAGAAGATTAGCATGGCCCCGGCACAAGGGTGACACACATATTTGTGAAGTGTTCCATATTTTTGATGAATTTTTTCAATTTTGTTAACTTCTCTTTGAAATATAAAAGTATCATGTATTTAACTGTTCTCTTATTGTTGGACAATTAATTTTTGACACATTTTCACTACAATAAATAATATAATGAACATCAAAAAAGGAAATTAGATAATAATTATACTACCTTGTAAATATGCTAAAAAGCCACTGAATTGTACACTGTACATTACAGTATGTAAATTGTACATCAATAAAGCTATAATTTTTTTAAAGTATGGATAGTGTCATATACATACACCCATGTTAATAATATGGTACACTGTTATTCCTAGATTTCGCTTTTGACAGTAACAAATTTGATTTCTTTTACAGCAACAAAATGGTTCAACAAGTTCCAGAAAACATAAATTTTCCTGCTGAAGAAGAAAAAATCTTGGAGTTTTGGACTAAATTTAATTGTTTTCAGGAATGCTTAAAGCAATCGAAACATAAACCAAAGTATGTGAATTTCTTAGGTAAAGGGAATGTCCTTAAGAATAGTTATTTCTTGGGCTGGGCACAGTGGCTCACGTCTGTAATCCCAGCACTTTCGGAGGTCAAGGCGGGTGGATCACGAGGTCAAGAGATTGAGACCATCCTGACCAACACGGTGAAACCCTGTCTCTACTAAAAATACAAAAAAATTAGCCGGGCGTGGTGGCACGTGCCTGTGGTCCCAGCTACTCGGGAGGCTGAGGCGGAAGAAACGCTTGAACCCAGGAGGCGGAGGTTGCAGTGAGCCGAGATTGCGCCACTGCACTTTAGCTTGGTGACGAGCAAGACTCCATCTGAAAAAAAAAAAAAAAAGTTATTTCTTAAACTGAATCCCATTAAAACAGATACTCTTTTTTTTTTTTCTTTGAGATGGAGTCTTGCTCTGCTGCCCAGGCTGGAGTGCAGTGGTGTGATCTCTACTCACTGTAACCTCCACCTCTGGATGCAAGTGGTTCTCCTGCCTCAGCCTCCCAAGTAGCTGAGATTACAGGTATCCGCCACCATGCCCAGCCAATTGTATTTTTAGTAGAAACAGAGTTTCACCATGTTGTCCAGGCTGGTCTTGAATTCCTGACCTCAAGTGATCCATCTGCCTCGGCCTCTCAAAGTGCTGGGATTACAGGCGTTATCTACCACTCGCGGCCTAAAGTAGATACTCTCTTCATCTTTGTATTCCCAGAATCCTCCAGCCCTCTATATAGTGGGTATTCAGTAGTAGATACATACATTGAATGAGTAAGTACCCTGTAGAAGGCTACTGTAGTGCCTTCTGCCTTTAGTTCTCATTTACCTAAAAGACTAGCCCTTTAATCACTGTTTTCTTTTTTTTTTTGAGATGGAGTTTTGTCGTTACCCAGACTGGAGTGCAATGGCGCCATCTCGGCTCACCGCAACCTCCGCCTTCTGGGATCAAGCAATTCTCCTGCCTCAGCCTCCTGAGTAGCTGGGACTACAGGCGTTCACCACCATGCCCAGCTAATTTTTGTATTAGTAGAGACGGGGTTTCACCTTGTTGACCAGGATGGTCTCGATCTCTTGACCTCGTGATCCACCCTTGGCCTCCCAAAGTGCTGGGATTATAGGCGTGAGCCACCGTGCCCGGCCAATCACTGTTTTCATTATATTTCTCCTCTGGTAAAAAACTTTATGAGATAGGGGTTTATTGCTCTATTTTACTGATGAGATAACTCAAGATCAGAATAAATAACTTGCCTTACGTCATGGAACTAATAAATGAAAAATGGCTAATCAAATGGAGGTCTCTGCCAGCTCTACCACAATTGTAGCCTTTCTGAAGGCAGGTCCACCAGTAAATATCTAATCAATTATATTTGCCAATTTTCTGATCTTGCTGGTTTTCTCCTTCCAAAAAGACTTCACTATGACAAAAGCTATCTATAGAAAAATGCTTTAAATTTTTGCTTTTTTTAAGTGACTTGATATATTTTTATTACCTCTTAGATTTACTTTCTATGATGGTCCTCCTTTTGCAACTGGACTGCCTCATTATGGACATATACTTGCAGGGACAATTAAAGATATAGTTACAAGATATGCTCACCAGAGTGGGTTTCATGTTGACAGAAGATTTGGATGGGATTGTCATGGCTTACCTGTGGTATGTTTGAGTGTCCAGCTTTATAATGTTATGATTTTTTTATAAGCATTAGATTTCATCATATAATATGTTAAATACGAATGTTGACTGTAGACCTTTTCTTCTACTTCATTTCTATATTTGTAGTTCGATTTGTTTTATTTTCTAGAGTTGCATAGTTGCAGTTGTTTCATGAGGCACATGGTAACAATGTTATCACAAATTTTCAGGAATATGAAATTGATAAGACACTAGGAATCAGAGGACCAGAGGATGTGGCCAAAATGGGGATTGCAGAGTATAACAGTCAGTGCCGAGCAATTGTGATGAGATATTCTACTGAGTGGAAGGTATGTAGGATTATTGTCAGTAGAATGAACAGAAACTGTAGTTATTAAATGGGCATTGAGATGGTTTATGGTCCCTTGTGCTTTTTTTATTTATTAATTTTTTTCTTTGTAGAAAAACTGTTAGCTTAAACTGAACCATTTTCTGACTTCCATGTGCTGAACTTGGTCTACCTTTCTTAACTAATCACCAATAGGGAAAAATTCTGATAAGCATAACATGGATATGGGCCTCTTCTTTTTTTCTCAAATACTTTTAAAAATTTTTTAACTTTTTATTTGAAATAATTTCAAAATAAAATTAGTAAACAATTACAAAAATAAAATTAATTCCCCTATATCTTTCATTCTTCTTTCCCAACTGCTAACATCTTCAATAACCATAGTATTAATCGAATTTTCTTTTTTCCTTTTTTTTTTTTTTTTTTTGAGACAGAGTTTCGCTCTTGTTACCCAGGCTGGAGTGCAATGGCGCAATCTCGGCTCACCTCAACCTTTGCCTCCTGGGTTCAGGCAATTCTCCTCCCTCAGCCTCCTGAGTAGCTGGGACTACAGGCATGCGCCACCATGCCCAGCTAATTTTTTGTATTTTTAGTAGAGACGGGGTTTCACCTTGTTGACCAGGATGGTCTCGATCTCTTGACCTCGTGATCCACCTGCCTCAGCCTCCCAAAGAGCTGGGATTACAGGCATGAGCCACCACACCCGGCAATATTAATCAAATTTTCAAAAGCAATTGCCCCATTAATTTTTATTTGGACCAATCACATATTTCATTTAGTTGTCATGATTTCTTAGTCTTCTTAAGTATGGGACATTTTATTCAGTCCTTCTTTGTCTTTCATGGCCTTCTCATTTCTGAAGATTGCAGAGCAGCATTTTATAGAATGTCTCTCACGCCGGGCGTGGTGGCTCACACCTGTAATCCCAGCACTTTGGGAGGCCGAGGTGGGTGGATCACGAGGTCATGAGATCGAGACCATCCTGGTCAACATGGTGAAACCCCGTCTCTACTAAGAATACAAAAAATTAGCTGGGCATGGTGGCGCGTGCCTGTAATCCCAGCTACTCAGGAGGCTGAGGCAGGAGAATTGCCTGAACCCAGGAGGTGGAGGTCACAGTGAGCCGAGATTGCGCCATTGCACTCCAGCCTGGGTAACAAGAGCGAAACTCTGTCTCAAAAAAAAAAAAATAGAATGTCTCTCAATGTCTGAGGTTTCCTGATGTAATTTAGGTTATACATTTTTGGTGAGAATGCCACAGAAGTGATGCCATGCCCTTCTCAGTGCATTGTATCAGGTGGCATGTGTTGTTGCTATGTCCATTGATGGTGATAACTTTGTTCACTTGATAGAGGTGCTATCTATCAACCTTCTGCTTTGTAAAGTTGTAGTTTTTCCTTTGTAATTAATAAGTATCTTATGGGGAGATTCTTTCCAAATATTCTTTTTTTTTTTTTTTTTTTTTTTTTAAAGATGGGGTTTCACCATGCTGGTGTGGAACTCCCCACCTCAGGTGATCCACCCACCTTGGCCTCCAAAGTGCTTTGGATTACAGGCATGAGCCACCACGCCTGGCCCCAAATATTCTTTTTCTTGTCATACATTCACTCATTAATGTTAACATCCATGAATGATTTGTGCCAGCAATAATTATGCCTGTGGTATTTGCCAAGTGGTGGTTTTGGTAGCCTCGTATAAATGAATATTTATACTTACAAATAACATTTTGTGCACGTAGAATGAGTGCCAAGAAAACTGGTTGTTTACCTTACATAGAATGTTGTTTGCAATATATATTTACTCATACCGTTGATTATTCTGTTTTCCCGAAATTTCCGTTATGTGGTGACAGTAGAGGTAAGTACACATTGATGTACAATTATAAATATTGTCTAATACTGTTCTATATTAATATTTTAAAGTCTACCGTTACCAGACTTGGCCGGTGGATTGACTTTGACAATGACTACAAAACTCTTTATCCAGAATTCATGGAAAGTGTCTGGTAGGTTTATTTAAAATTGTAAATATGATAAATATTCTATGAATATTCTGTTGTATTGGTTATTGGAAAAGTACACTAGCATGAATCAGTTTATTTTTGAGTCCATCGTTATTTCTCCGAAATCTTTGGGAATAGGTTTGTTGTTGAATGTAGGACTTTTCTTTTATTTTTTTGAGACAGAGTCTGGCTCTGTTGCCCAGACTGGAGTGCAATGGCATGATCACGGCTCACTGCAACCTCCGCCTCCCGGGTTCAAGTGAATCTCCTCCCTCAATCTCCTGAGTAGCTAGGATTATAGGCACCCCCACGCCCGGCAAATCTTTATATATTTAGTAGAGATGGGGTGTCACCATGTTGGCCAGGCTGGTCTTGAGCTCCTAACCTAGGTGAGCCACCTGCCTTGGCCTCCAGGAGTGCTGGAATTACAGGTGTGAGCTGCTGCGCCTGGCCTGCCAGTTGCTTTTCTTAATCAACATGTTTTAAACATCATTCAATGTTAGTAGATATTAACATTGTAATGTCTGCCTAATGTCTTACTATATTGATTAATTTACCAGCTAGTCTTCCAATGAAGGACATTGTTTTTTCCCTTACTTGGCAGACAGACACTCTAAACAGAAAATGACATAAATGTTTCCATTTTAAGAAATAGAATTTTGGTTATGTAATTGTGAAACTCCATCTCTTATCAGGTGGGTCTTCAAACAACTCTATGATAAAGGCCTTGTTTATAGAGGTGTGAAAGTCATGCCCTTCTCTACTGCATGTAACACTCCACTTTCCAACTTTGAGTCACACCAGAATTATAAGGTACGTGAAATGTAGAGACTTTATTCAGCATTGAGTTTTGTAGGTAGAAGTTGAATGGTTGTGATCACAGTAGTTATTCCCAAGTAGACCCGGTGTGGAATGTCGCTCACACCATCAGTCACTTTGACCACTTTTTACTGAGTGCTGAAAATATTGCCAGTTACTATACTAAAGCTCTGTTAAGATGAAGGATTTGTTTTCTACATTGGATTTATGATGTATCTTAATGTAATAGGTTTTGCTTTTTTTGACCAAGAAAAAATATTTAATTTTGACATATTTTCAAACTTGCAGAAAAGTGGAGAGAGTTCTTTATCTCCTTCAACTAGATTCCCTAAATGTTAACCTTTTGCCACATTTGCTTTATCCGTCTCTCTTTTTATAGAAGTGGGGTACAGTACCCTTTGAAAGTAACTTGCAAGAATTATGGCCCTTTTCCTATGAAAACTACATATTTCCTAAAATCAATAACATTGGTTTAAATAACTAAAGTTAGAAAATTAACATTGATACTCTATTACCTCATGTATAGATCTTATTCAGGTTCTGCTTGTCTCAGCAGTGTCCTTTATAGTTTAAAAAGAAAAAGGAAAAGAAACAAAAGAAAAACAAAAAAGACCTACATTTTGTACTTCCGGCAGTGATATGTCTCCAGCCTTTAGTCTCAAACAGCTCTTTAGTCTCTTTATGCTTCGTAATACTGACATATTTGAGGAGGTACAGGCCAATAGTAGTGTCCCCATGCACACGAGTGTTCATTGCAGCACAGTTTACAATAGCAAAGACCTGGAACCAACCCAAATGCCCATTGATGATAGACTGGACAGGGAAAATGTGGCACATATACACCATGGAATATTATGCAGCCATCAAAAACGATGAGTTCGTGTCCTTTGTAGGGACATGGATGAACCTGGAAGCCATCATTCTCAGCAAACTGACACAAGAACAGAAAATCAAACACTGCATGTTCTCATTCATAGGTGGGTGTTGAACAATGAGAACACATGGACACAGTGGGGAGCACTACACACTGGGGTCTGTTGCAGGGGAAATAGGTGAGGGACAGCGGGGGGTGGGGAGTTGGGGAGAGAGAGCATGGGGAGAAATGCCAGATATAGGTGAAGGGGAGGAAGGCAGCAAATCACACTGCGATGTGTTAACCTATGCAATAATCTTGCATGTTCTTCACATGTACCCCAAAACCTAAAATACAATGAAAAAAAAAATAGTAGTGTCCCTTATTTCAGGTTTTTTCTTGTGTGACCAACAGCTCTTGTGTCACTTTATTTAAATTGCAGTTGGTTTTTGTTGGGGACTGATTTTTTTAGAGCTGTTTATATTTAAATCTTTGATATTTTCATGTTGAAACATTGCCCGAGAGCTGGAGACAATCTTGTTTTTTTATTTAATGAGCTGAATTTATATGGGTTTATTACAATTTTAAGTATGTGTTGCTTTAGTAGGATCTTTTTGACCTAACTCTTCATGGACTTACAAAATAAATAATCATAATACTGAAACCTCCATTGTATGTTCCTCTTTAGAAATTACTTAAAAAGTTACCAGAGGCCAGACATGGTGACCCATGCCTGCAATCACAGCACTATGGGAGGTTGTGGCAGGTGGATCACCTGAGGTCAGGAGTTTGAGACCAGCCTGACTAACATAGAAAAACCCCATCCCTACTAAAAATATAAAAATTAGCTAAGTGTGGTGGCATGTGCCTGTAATTTCAGGTACTTGGGCGGCTGAGGCACAGGAATCACTTGAACCCAGGAGGCGAAGGCTTCAGTGAACCAAGATGATACCACCTTTAGCCTAGGTGATAGAGGAAGACTCCATGTCAAAAAAAAAAAAAAAAAACCAGTCACCAGGTGTCTTAAAATATTTAATTTGTGACAACTAAATATGCTTTTAAAAATAATTTTTAAAATATTTAAAAAATTTTTTACTTGGAATTTCTTGCTATTTTATTTTTATAAGTCTGACAAGTGATTCTTCAGTTTATCCTGAAGATTTATCTTTAGGATCAGTTCCTTTTTCTTAGGTGTCTGTCATTGTGGATTTGTAAAACAATACTTTACCTCAATTTATTTCAGGATGTTCAAGACCCTTCAGTATTTGTAACTTTCCCTTTGGAAGAAGATGAAACTGTATCTTTAGTTGCTTGGACAACCACTCCCTGGACTCTACCTAGTAACCTTGCCGTCTGTGTTAATCCAGAAATGCAATACGTGAAGATTAAAGGTAAGTGGGAGGATGCTGGTTATTTATGATTAATATGTATATGTTAATTTTATATTTTGGAAAATATGAAGGCTTACCTTTCTTTTTGCATGAAGAATAGAATTATTTGAAAAGAATCTGACTTACTTAGAAAAATTATTTTTCTTTTTTTCTGTTTTTTTTTTTTTTGAGACAGTCTCACTCTATCGCCAGGCTTGAGTGTAGTGGTGCGAACTCGGCTCATTGCAACCTCTGCCTTTCAGGTTCAAGCGATTCTCCTGCCTCAGCCTCCCAAGTAGCTATAGGCATCCACCACCGCACCCAGCTAATTTTTGTATTTTTAGTAGAGATGGGGTTTTACCATGTTGGCCAGGATGGGCTTGATCTCTTGACTTCATGATCCGCCTGCCTTGGCCTCCCCAAAGTGCTGGGATTACAGGAGTGAGCCACCACGCCCAGCCTGTTTTCATTTCTAATTGAAAACCAACACAACATCTAAAATCATATAGAAATGTAAAAAGTAGAACATAAAATGTTCTTATAATTTCCAGTTTATAATATATTTTTCTACACCATGCACCTATGACAGATGAAGAATCTAAGATTCAGATATGTGGCATTACATTATTACTAGTAATTGGTACCAGAACTTGAGAACTTTTGCCTTTCAAACGTTCCCTTGTAGAGAGTTACCAGTTTCAATGAGGGCCTTTCCATAGAGATTTGCAAAGAAGATTGGTACTTTGTGAACACAAATATACTTTCAGGTTTGGATAGTTTTGTGGAGGCGAAAAGAGAAGAAAAGAAAATCTTATTGCCAATAAAAAAGCTGTGGTGCAGCTGCTGTGGAAAATAGGGGCATTTCTTCAAAAAGCTGAACAGAATTACACTGTGGGCCAGCAATTTCATTTCTGGGTGTTTTCCCCAAAGAATTGAAAGCAGTTTTGAACAGATACTTCTACACCCATATTCGTGTAGCATTATTCACAATAGTCAAAATATAGAAGGAACCCAAGTGTCTATCGTTGGATAAATGAATAAACCAAATAGGGTATTTACATACAATGGAATATTACTTGGCCTAAAAAAGGAAGGAAATTCTGATATAGGCTATGCCTTGGATGAACCCGTATTACATTATGCTAATTAAAATGAGCCAGTCGCCAAAGTGCAGATACTACATTATTCATATATGAGGTATCAAGAAGTGAAATTCAGAGAGCAAAAAGTAGTAGAATGGTGGTTGACAGAGACTGGAAAGGAAAGGGGAGTTGTTTGATGGGTGCAGAGTTTCAGTATAGGAAAATGCAAAGGTTTGGGTATTGATAGTAGTAATGATTACACAACAGTGTAGATGTGTTTAATGCTCTTTAATAATGGTTGCAATGATCTTTTTTTTTGGAGACGGAGTTTTGCTCTTGTTACCGAGGCTGAAGTGCAATGGCGGGATCTTGGCTCACCACAACCTCCGCCTCCTGGGTTCAGGCAATTCTCCTGCCTCAGCCTCCCGAGTAGCTGGGATTACAGGCACGCGTCACCATGCCCAGCTAATTTTTTGTTTTTTTAGTAGAGACAGGGTTTCACCATGTTGACCAGGATGGTCTCAATCTCTTGACCTTGTGATCCACCCGCCTCGGCCTCCCAAAGTGCTGGGATTACAGGTGTGAGCCACCGCGCCCGTCCGCAATGATCTTTTTAAATAGTTGTATTAAAACAGTCGACTTGATTGAACAGTAGATTGTGCTGGCAAGGAAAAATAGTGAGAAAGGAATGGGAAAATATTAATTGTCAGAAAACAGGTACAGAGGGAGTTTTTTATTTATTCTTTCCTGGGGGACCAAGAGTTGACCTACTGGAAAGAACTGTTGGCCACAGAGAGGCCTGGCTTTTGCAGTGCCCCATAGATACCCATTTTTCTTATAGTGAACTAAGTACATGACATAGGCTCTAGTAAATTTCAGATATGTAATATCATAACTTACGAGTGGGAATTTAAATTGGCCCAAATTTTCTCTTAAGTTTTAATGGTTTGTACATTTGCTTTAGCGTTTCTTTTTCTAGGATGCCGTAGGTATCCTCTAGAAACATTTATAATAGGGGTACACAGATACATCAAGGACATTATTATCCCAGTGTTCATAGTAGTGAAAATTTGAAAGGAATTTAAATGTCTGACAGCTTGTTAGAAATAACTCATAATCATGTAAAATGGAGTCCCATGGAGTTCTTTCAAAGAGGGAGAAAAGTCTGTATGTGCTAATATTTGGAAGAATGTTGACAGTATATTAAGTGAAACATTGTAAAACCAGATAGGATATTACCTTAATTAAAAAATAAAAGGAATGTACATATTTGCATATGTGTTTGTTAGTATATACATAGAAAAATATCTGGATCAATAGATGCCCAAATGAGAATGTCTGAGAGGGGGTGATATTACATGGCACTTACTTTGTGAGCTACTTTGTCAATGTTATTTTTAAACATTCATATATTTACCTTATGAAGGAGAAAATAAAGAATAATTTACTTAAAATGGATATTGGAGTGATAAATAATAACTACCAACTGCCTAAGTGCATTTGATGTTTTTGGAAAGCAGTATACCTTAGTTTGCAGTATTTCTCTGTGAGTGTTGGGCACACTAGAGGCACATGATATAGGGGTTCCTCGGGAAAAAAGTATGCTTGATGCATGTCTTTAGAATCAGCCAAATTCAGAATATCACCCATGTCCATGTTCTTCCTTGTTCTCATAGATGTTGCCAGAGGAAAATTGCTCATTTTAATGGAAGCCAGATTGTCAGCCCTCTATAAATTGGAGAGTGACTATGAGATCCTTGAAAGGTAAATATTCAAATAGTTGCTCTGTGGGGGTGGGGGTGGGGTATATGTGTCTGGGTGTGCCTTTAGTTTTAAAAAGAAAAAATCTTTATTATCCAAAAGCTGCATTATTCAAATTTAGTTTTAAGTACTAATACTAAGTACTTTACAGTCACACATTATAGCATTAATGGCTAAGGAGCCAGCAAAGCAGAGGCGAGTGGTGGCTTGGCTTGATGGGGCTGTAGCCTCATATTTGATTCTAATTTAATTGTGAGTTTGCCTTTCTCCTTTTCTAGATTTCCTGGTACCTATCTTAAAGGCAAGAAGTACAGGCCCTTGTTTGACTATTTTGTGAAGGTAAGCTTAGGGACTGCTACTGTGGGGGCTCTCCACAATCTGATTATCTGATAGCTGGGATGAGGTGATAAGTGGAATTCACATTACCTTACTGTTATATTGCTTGTATGAGTGTACCTGAATCCAGAAAGTCTGCTTTAGTGCTAACAAATTAAGTCTTTTTTGTTGCTTTCTTGTTTTAGAGGATTTTTTTTTTTTTGAAACAGGATCTCCTCCACCCCCTTGGGCTTGAGTACAGTGGCACAATCATGGCTCACTCCAGCCTCAACCTCTTGGGCTAAAGTGATGCCCCCCTGTCCCAGGTAGCTGGGACTACTAGCATACACCACCACCACATCTGGCCAAGTTTTTTATTTTTTGTAGAGACAGAATCTCACTATGTTGCCCAGGTTGGTCTTGAACTCCTGGGATTACAAGCTTGAGCCTCTGCACCTGGCCATGATTTTTTTAATATATATTTTTCTCAAATTATATGAATAATCACTTTACATTTTATTGGATTTTTATGTGTATATTTGTATTACATGTAGTCTACGTATCACCCAGGGCATTTATTTACGGCTTTTTTTTTTTTTTTTTTTTTTGACAAATTTAAGATAGTCATCAGAATAAAACATTGTGTGTAAAAGTAAACACAATTTTATATCGAGGAGGTTAATGAGGCAGGTTTTAAATCTAGGTACATGACAGGGCTCATACATTTAGCACCTTAATTTCTTCAGAGTCAAAGTTGTTTTATGTGGTTTTATTTTCCAAGAGCGGAGAATCCACAGCTGCAGTTGCAAACCCTGTCACTCACACTCCCTCACTAAAAGAGTGTTGTCAAGCAGGAATTCCTCCATCCTTATTTAAAGGTCTTGAAATGAGATAATAAGGAGGCCTGGCTTTATTGGTTATGTGGAAATAATAATCAACTGGACGTATCACTTACATCCCATCCCAAAAAAAAAAACCATTTGCTGAACCCTCTGTTTCTGTTCCTTGTAGTCTCCCTCAGTCTGGTTGATTCAGGAGACCTCACACACACACACACACACACACAGAGCAAGCAAAAAGAGAAAAGGAGGGGAAACTTTTACTTTAAAGGAGACTTAACAGACATGTTAACCTATCACAATAACGTGTGCTTCATTCAGATGATGATTCAAACAGGCTTAAAAGAAAATCAAAAGGCAATTAGGGAAATATGAAAAGTGCCTGCATGTCTGCATGATGTTATTTGGTTTGGGCCCTATCCACAGTGTGTCTGTTACCTGCCTCTTCGCTTTTGTGCTTGTTTTTCTACATTTCTTCTTGCCTTCTTCCTCCTGCATAATGGCCTTCTTCCTCCCACGTTACTGCCCAGTGGATTTCCATATGCTCTGCCTTCGTCCCATTCCTTCCTACAAGCAGTAGTTATTTCCCAGTATTAGGGACATGCCCTCCCCAGTCGCTGTGTAGCAGACTTGTTTCCTGACCACATCCTTCCATGCTACTTTAGATATATCCTTTATTCGGTCAAACTGGCTCTTTCCTTTCCTGCTTCCCTGCCTTTTTTCCTACCATTTTAAAAGTCTTTATCTTTTTTTCATGTGTAGATATGCTGAGTTAACTCACCCTTCAAGTCTGAACTCAGATGTCATCTGAAAGTTTTCTGAAATGCATCTTTCGTTTCTCCCTTGGAGAAATGTCTTTACTTTATTCTCCTATCATATATCTTAACATACTTTATGTTGTATTTTTTTATTACCTAAAATCTCTTCCACTGGATCAGTGACGCTTCACCTTTCTGAATCACAAACCCTATTGAGAACCCAAAGAAAGCTCAACTCTCTGAAAAAATGGACTTGGACAGACTAGATAGGAACTTTAGGTTAAATAGAGGTCTGTCTGGAATGTGCACTCGGTACATATCCAGTTGAATAACACCTACCCATTAAATAAACTTCTTAAACTACTTGAGACCTTCAGTGACTTTAGACGAGTACTGTAAGTCGTTTGACCCAGGACAGAATTTGTCTGATGTTCGCTGACGTATACCTGTTCTACAATACCAAAGGAAGCTGTGTCAGCAGACATCGTCTATGGAGTAGCACTGCCGCTCCTGGTGGTTGGTATCTGCTGACCTGGGTGGAAGCAGCCCAGCCATGGCCTGGATAGTCCCCAGGTGGACCCTGAGAGATGAGATGCAGTGACTTAGTCTATACTGGTTCTAAGTGTAGAACATGTGATTAAGTATCCATGTAATTCTAAGGACCCATGTATTCTTTCTGTTTAAACTATCAAAATTTTAGCACCTGTCATACCATAACTTCTAAAATGTTTCAAGGGGATTTGGGTTACAGCAATGAAATTTTATGGTTATATTTCAAGTTTAGTTTTAAGTTCCAAAGAGACAGAGTGCTGTGATGAAGTTGAAATAACATTGTATTTGCAACCAGAAGACTTGTTTCATTCAGGTTATGGTTTCATCACTGTTGTGTGATTTGGATAAAGACTAATCTTTGTTCTGAATTTGCTTATCTGTGAAATGCAACTACAGTCAGAATGTTTTTAAGACATGGGATACTAATAGCTTTTTCCAGGATTTTAGGAGTTAAATGTGAAAATACTTTTTAACCAATGCAAAAAGGAAGGACATCGAAGGGCCAGTTTGGCAGAAACAATGGTTTGTGGAAAGAAATGTAGAGATGAAAATAGAAACAGTAGGTCTATTAGCATTATATGTATTAACGTGATGATATTGCTGTTGCAAAGAAAATAAAATTGAACACATTTCCCCTGAGTCTTAAGGTGGTGGAGTACCTGTAAATAGAACTTACTACTTGTGGCTCCCACCTGTTCCTTTCGAGACTTGCCTTTATAATAATAACTTGAGCTGAGTTGAAAGGAAAAAGAGAAGCAAAACATATACAGTGATTAAAAATGTACCAGTAAGTGAATATCCTAAACTGCATACTAGGAGCAAAAATGGGGGGAGGGAGAACTAATGAAAAACATCAGTTTGGGCTGGACGCCGTGGCTCACACCTGTAATCCCAGCACTTTGGGAGGCCGAGGCAGGTGGATTACAAGGTCAGGAGCTCAAGAGCAGCCTGGCCAAGATAGTGAAACCCCGTCTTCGCTAAAAATACAAAAAAAATTAGCTGAACGTGGTGGTGGGCACCTGTAATCCCAGCTACTCAGGAGGCTGAGGCTGCAGAACTGCTTGCACCTGGGAGGTGGAATTTGCAGTCAGCCAAGATTATACTACTGCACTCTAGCCTATGTGACAGCAAGACTCCTTCTCAGGAAAAAATAAAACAAAAAACAAAAAACCCATCAGTTTGTAACCAAGGAAATTAGAAATTTTTATCTGCCAGTCTCCAGATAATTTGATTTCTAAGTAGTAACTTTTTATTTATGGGAAAAACGTATTGAATTAGCATGTTTCTTCCCAACTTCAATTTTTCTTTCTTTAATATTTCTGGAAATAATTTTACATGTTGAAAGTGTTTCACGTTCTTAAGAAAAACTGTTACGAAGTTAGCATTGTAATATAGTAATGTTTCATCCCTGAAGCCTGCTGCCCTTTTTTTCCAGTGTAAAGAGAATGGCGCTTTCACTGTACTCGTAGACAACTATGTGAAGGAAGAAGAAGGCACAGGGGTTGTCCACCAAGCTCCTTACTTTGGTGCTGTGAGTAGTATAAATCTGGCAAATGTATTTGAAAAGTATGTTGGTGGCCACTTTTTGTAGATGTTGAGTCATGTGTCTCATCATGTTGGGCCACCAGGTTGGCGTCTTTTCTGACTCACTGCCCACAAGATGGCTTATAAAATTTGCATCTCCAATTCCCTTTCATCCTAAGCTAATTTCTGGAAAGAGTGGGTCAAATTCAGGGCCACTTCCAGGCGTTTAATCTTTCTAAAAGGCCCACAGTGCCTTGCTGTGTCTTTATTTATTCGTTCATGCAGTAAACTCTTTCTGGTATACAGGTCTGTGAGTTTTGACAGGCATCTAGAGATGTGCAGGTGCCTCAGTCACCAAAATACACACCATTCCCATCAGCTCTGCTGTGTTCTTAATTAAATGCTACATGATCAGAAGGGGGAATTTGACTTCTCCCCCACCAAACCGTACTCCAGTTAATTTTATATTTTGCCCCAAATAATTTTTCTAAAAACAGTTTCCCTTTCATGTACTTTGTGTATAAATAAAAACAGAATGACATAAAGGCACATACTTTGCAGTAAACCACCTCTCACCTTAAATCATGGTGCTGCCACTAACGGGCAGTTCCAGGCTGTTACTTGGCCTATCTGGGTTTCCTTTGCCTCCTCTGTAGCATGGTGTAGCACCTACACATTCCTCTAGGCTTGATCATTTTGTTGGTGAGAGGCATTGGAAATGCGACTTTGTTCTAAAAGGCAGTGAGAGTAGTCCGTCTTTATTTACCATTTTGCTTTTATGTTTAATCTCTGGGATTTAATTTTATTTATTATAGATATAGGGGGTACAGGTACTTTTTTTACATTGATTTGTAGTGGTAAAATATGGGCTTTTAATGTAACCATCACTTGAAGTTTTATTCTGGAAATCTTGAAACATACACAGAAGAAAATATAATTCTTTTTGTCACATCATCCAGCTGCGTTCTCAACATTTTGGTAATCTCTCTTGTTTTCTTCCTCCATATAGTACCACAGCTTTTATTTTGACTAGAGGATTCAGAAGCAAATCCTCAACATCATGTCTTTCATGTATCAGTAATTCTAGCTGCATCTCTGACTAATAAGGACTTTTATCTTCACTACTGTGCCATTATTATTTATATCCAATAAAGTCAGCAATTCCTTAATAATCACCCAATACCTGGTTCGTATTCAATTTTGGTAGAAGGAAGTATTCTTGATAATACTACTTAAGAGTTTTAGGAACTAGTCACATACTGTTTATAATTATTTTAGGGTCAACGAGTATGGTTACCCCACTGATAGTAGATAATTAAAAAGGTAACTTCTTGGTTTTGAATTGTAGTTTAGGTTTTCTTTTTAAGTGTAGGTATTTGTCATTAACTCTAGAATTATATCTCATGTCACTCTGAGTGCCATGCACATTAACATTACAGAAGATTGAGAACGCCATGCAGGTTAATGTCATGGAAGATTTATTCTTTAAACTATAGCCTTTAACCCCAATTGGTAAACATTTTCTTTCTTTTTTTTTTTTATCTGAGACAGAGTCTTCCTCTGTCGCCCAGGCTGGAGTGCAATGGCACGATCTTGGCTTGCTGCAATCTCTGCCTCCTTGTTTCAAGCGATTCTCCTGCCTCAGCCTCCCAAGTAGCTGGGGTTACGGGTACCCACCACCTCACCTGGCTAATTTTTTGTACTTTCAGAAGAGATGGGATTTCACCAGTGTTGGCCAGGCTGGTCTCAAACTCCTGACCTCAGGTGATCCACACACCTTGGCCTCCCAAAGTGCTGGGATTACAGGTGTAAGCTACCGTGCCCCACCTTGGTAAACATTTTCTGAGAGTCCTTCTTTTGCTAGGCAAGGTAGTGTTTGATCTCTGTGGAGTCTGTGCACTTGTGCATCATCATGTTGAACATCACTTGTTCTGTATGCATTTAGGAAAGCTGCTCTTAGCTTAATGCACTGGGTAGTGTTACTTGCTCCACACTCAGTAGTTCAAATTGCTGCACTGAAGGGCTTTTCCTGTTCACCCACATGACACCACACCAGTCAGCCTCAGCACAGGGAGAGGTGAACACAGATCTAGGTGGAAACATGTCCACTTTCCAGCTTGTCTTGGAGTCAACCCAGAGTGTAGTTTCACTAACATAAGGCAGTCTCTTTAATTTTATATTTAGGCATCGAAGCACAGCGGTGAAGCTCTGGAGCCTAGTGTTGCTGCTTCATAGCTGAGTTATTTCTTGGTACCTTGACTTTCCTATCTGTAAAGTAGAAATGACTGCTAATTTGTATAAGGGGAGCACCTGGTGAAAGCCTTCTTTGTAGGATCATTGGGAGGTGTTTTGTTTTGTTTTCCTGCCACTTTGTCTGAGAGCATTTTGAGGGGTAAGTGAGCATGTGTAAAGTTCTTAGAATACTGTCTCACATAGCACTTTGCTAAGCATTTGCTCTATTGTTAACAGTCTTCAAAATATATTCCTGAAGCTTCATGGTATAAGCTATGCCAGTTTGCTTATTTGAAAAGTAAATACTTTGGATTTTTAGGTCAGTGTTGCCATCCTTTGGGGTCTTCCTTGAGAGGGTGCAAATCCAAATGTACATCAAGCACCATGTAATACTAACAGGCCATGCCTTATACTTGTGTGTATTTTGGTTTTTGTGTGTGCTACTGTTATAAACCAAATTTGATTTAGTTTTAAAACATTCATGCGTGGCTGCTCTTCCTATGGAGTAGCCATTCTTCATTCCTTTACTTTGTTAATCAACTTCCTTTCACTTAAAAAAAAATCATGTATGTCATCTATCTTCTCATTTAGTGGATACTCAGGTACATACAGAGGTCTGGGAAATAATATTTGAGAAGACTGGACTGGGTGATCTAATCCCTGTCCAACTGTGAGGCTCTGATTCTCCTAATGGTCTTGAGTTACCTTCAGTTAACAGGATAAAGTTAATGACATGTATATGTTATAATATAGAACAATTATCTTGGGACTCTATTACCTCATGTTTGTTCCCCACACCCATACTTAGATTGTTTTATTCTTCTCTCCTTTTTGCCTTTTCTCAGGATGACTATCGGGTCTGTATGGACTTCAACATTATTCGGAAAGACTCACTCCCCGTTTGCCCTGTGGATGCATCAGGCTGCTTCACAGCAGAGGTGACACATTTTGCAGGACAGTATGTGAAGGTCTGTAATCCATGTGGCATAGAAGGGTGTCTTTTACTTTTGATTACTGTATTATGGTTTATAATTGTAAGTCTTCTAGGAAGTTGTTTTTATTTAGTTTTGTTGTCACATAAAATCAGTAAAGATGTGATCAGTTACGTTCAGAGGGTCTCATATCTTTAGAGGAAGCATGCTGTAATTTCACAGGGAGAGATCAGAAAAACTGCTCCAGTTTATGCCTCATGAAACAACTTTGTGACCTTGGGGTAATCATTTCAGAAAGAAAACTTTATGACCTTAAATGTTGTGGAATGTACTGGACTTAAAGTTAGAGACTAAAAATAATTAATATTTGTTATTTGTGCCTTTTATTCATGACAGAATATCAGTTTCTAGTAATACATTGTTCCTAAATATTACAGTATATTTTAATGGCTAAATTTAATTTTTTTTAACAGGATGCTGACAAAAGTATCATCAGGACTTTGAAGGAACAAGGCCGACTTCTGGTTGCCACCACCTTCACTCACAGCTACCCTTTTTGCTGGAGGTCAGAAGTGTTGAGATTCACTTGGGGTGGCTGGCAGAATATCATAGAAATATTAGGAAAGGTTATAGATTAATCTAAAACCTATAACCTTTGCTCATATTTTTTGCATGTGTGTTTGTTTCTTTCGTTTTCTTGAGACAGTCTCACCCAGCCACCCAGGTTGGAGTTCAGTGGCGCCATCTTGGCTCACTGCAACCTCTGCCTCCCAGGGTCAAGCGATCCTCCTGCCTCAGCCTCCCAAGTAGCTGGGACTACAGGCATGTGCCACCATGCCTGGCTAATTTTTTGTATTTTTAGTACAGACGGGGTTTCACCATGCTAGCCAGACTGATCTCAATCTCCTGGCCTCGTGATCTGTCTAGCTTGGCCTCCCAAAGTGCTGGGATTACAGGTGTGAGCCACCATGCACAGCAACCTTTCCTAATATTGCTATAATATTTTGCCATCCACCCCGAGTGAATCTCAACAAGAAGAAACAAAGACTGTGTTGTAGCTAGAGCTTCTAATCTGTGCTTACACTTTCTATGTTTGCCTGTTCCATATTTATGGTGTTCATCTCATTTGTATCATTTAGAGTCGGTTTGGGAACCTGCCATCTTACTTCATTTTTAGGACAGTTGGGTTTTTTGTTGTTATTTTGAGATAGCATCTCAATCTGTTGCCCATGCTGGAATGCAGTGCTGCATTCATGGCTCACTGCGCCCTTCACCTCCCCAGCTTAAGCAATCCACCCACCTCAGCTTCTGGAGAAGCTGGGACTATGTAGGTGGTGCCATCACACCTGGCTAGTTTTTGCATTTCTTTTAGAAAGGGGGTTTTGCCATGTTGTCCAGGCTGATCTCAAACTCCTGGGCTCAAATGATCCTCCCACCTTGGCCTCCCAAATTGCTAAGATTATAGACATATAGACATGAGCCAGCCACAATGCCTGGTCTAGGAGAGTTTTCTGAATGGCCAAAATTCATTCTTTCCTTTTTTTTTTTTTTTTTTTTTTTTTTTTGAGACAGAGTCTTGCTCTGTCACCCAGACTGGAGTCTAGTGATGCAATCTTGGCTCACTGCAACTTCCATTTCTCAGGTTCAAGCTATTCTTTTGCCTCAGCCTCCTGAGTAGCTGGGACTACAGATGCATGCCACTACCCCTGGCTAATTATTTTTGTATTTTTAGTAGAGACAGGGTTTCACTGTGTTAGCCAAGATGGTCTCAATCTCCTAAACTCGTGGTCTACCCGCCTCGGCCTCCCAAAGTGCTGGGAATACAGACGTGAGCCACGATGCCCGGCCTTAAAATTCTTACTTCCTAAGGAACTGTGTGAGAAAAATAGATCTGTACAAATCTGTTTTGTGTTGTAGCCACATTTTTTTAGGATGAGAAACATCTCTAAAATTTTGTCATGGAATTTAATGAAAAATTTAATGTGATTTTAACATTTAATGTAAGCCCATGCTATAAAGGCGTGGGGAAACGTGAAATGTTCGGTTGCATCATATTTGGTTTTCACATTGCCTCTTCTGTGCTGAAGTTGAAGTTGACATTGTTTCTTAGACAATTGTCATCAGCAGAACTATATTTTTTTTCTGGTCGTGTTCTTATATTAGTTTTCGCCTTTCTTACTATTGTGGAAAGAGATGACCAATTTCGAAGACTTAGTTATAACAAAAATATCCTTTTTGTTATCTATATCAAAAGCTTTTATCTATAACAAAAATAAATATTAGCAGAAGGCCAAGTAGGTGATGATGCTGTCAATAAAACATGAAAAGTAGGTCTTCCCCTGGTGCCTGCTAGTCCCAGCCTGAGCAGCTATGTCTGTGTTTTGCTTCCCTAGATCAGACACTCCCCTCATTTACAAAGCGGTGCCCAGCTGGTTTGTGCGAGTGGAGAACATGGTGGACCAGCTCCTAAGGAACAATGACCTGTCTTACTGGTGAGCAGTAAAATGTGTTTCTTCATAGTGTCTTTTGTCATGTCGTTGCTAAGTGTGTTTTACACTTCCCTGAAATCCATTTTCTATTGTGTATTATAATAGCTATCTTTTATTCTGTGTGTTTAGGAACACAAAGTAATTCAAATAATGTTACAGAACAGAAGTAATATCTTTCTTGTGATAAAGTATATATGAGAGTATTTTTCTTTTTAAACTCTAGAAATGAGAAACTCACATTTATTTGATTTATGGAATGAAGTGACTTTGGAAAAATGTGGCTGTGCTAGCCTTCAGTAATAATCATTTTCAGATATACCTGCAAATGCCATGTGTACTTAACTGTTGTCGGTCCTGTAGTGAACAATGTCCCTTGTGCTTGGCTTTATGGGTAAGCTCCAAGCAGAAACCTTTGCTTTCCTCAGCTGATATGTGTCCTGCAGGTGATAACCCAAGAGGTATCATTTCAGCCTATGGGTACAAAATGAAACAAGGCTTGATTGAACCTATGTATTTCAGAATAATGTTTTTCACTACGAGTTTTAAAGGTTATCACCACTTCATTTCACAAAGACCCAACTAGATTAGAAAACTGTATTTGTGTTTAGGAGAATGGGGAGAATCTCAGGACAATAAGGAAAATGCTTATAAACTGTAGCTTTCTAATATTTCTTAGCAGAGTAATCCTGATTTATCAAAAGACAGCTTTTCATTTTTAGAGCCAATATGCTAATTAGTTCCCCTAATTACTAGATATAGAATATTAATAAGATAACCTCGAGGGGGTGCAGGCATATAAACTGATCCTTGAAGTACAGGGCAGTAACTGTAGTGCCCAAGAGAAGAAGGGAAAGTTTGGTAGCCTACCCTGACTGAGCCTTGTGCTTGGAAAGGATTTCTGCAATGCTGAACCTCAAGGAATAAAGAACATTGGGAGTGGGAGGGATGCAAGAGGATGGTTGCAGAGGGGAGGAAGGCTGCATAACACAGGGCAGGCATGGGCAAAGGCAGTTAAGTGAGAAAGATTCTAGGGAACTTGCCTCATTGTTAGAGCCTGAAATTCAACACCAAGGATGATCAGAAAGGAGATTATAGTGGGGGGCTACTAGAACGGCTACCAATCGCCTGGCCTGTTTGGAGCCTTTGCTTAAGGAGTTCAGTAAAATTGCTGTGGTAAGGATAATGTAAAGACTAGAGTTGCATGGGGTGAGGCTGGCTAGAGTAAGGGTGACTGGTTAGAGGTACGTGGCAGCCATACTACAGTTGAAGAGGAGGACATGGGAGGCCTGTGTGCTGCGGTGGTTATCTATTGGATGTAGGTCATTGATCGCAGCACAGACTGTTGCGTGTGCTATGCTGTGCATTTAGAATACGCACTCTTTGACGTGAGCTCCACATTTCCAGAGTGTTTGCTCCACAAAGTGTTACACAAAGGCTTACATGGATATAATTTACAATTTGTAATTACTAATATTCTTATGTGACTGGTTACGTGATCTGTTTATTGCAGGGTCCCAGAGTTTGTGCGAGAAAAACGATTTGGAAATTGGCTGAAAGATGCACGTGACTGGGCAATTTCCAGAAACAGATACTGGGGCACCCCTATCCCACTGTGGGTCAGCGATGACTTTATGGAGGTGAGGCAGGGCAGTATTCCCTTGTGTTGATTTTTACTAAAGCATTTTATTCCTGAAAAAGAATCGGGTTTCTTTTTTCTTCGCCACTCTTATTTCATCTTTTTTCCTCTATTCCTTCCTAGAATCATGACATACAATAATCATTTTTAGGGTTTTTAACTTCTTTTTCCTTGAATTAAATACAATTTATAGAATTTCCTCTGTAAAAAATAAAAGGATATAGTTTTATCAGGGAAATCCACACTTCAAACGTTTTTTCTTGTGTTTCTCTGATGTCTTTTCTTCCCCCTGCATTAAGTTGTATCATTAGCTTATGGTTAAACTGACTTTATAGATAATGAAAAATGAAAACTTGAAAAGAAATTTATCAAAGCATTGCAGACCTTTAACTTCTAGAATCAAGTGAGTAAGAGGGTATGTGTGGATATATAGATGTATGTGTCTATACTATGTCCTCACTTAATGTCATACAGAGGTTCTTGATAACTGTGACTTTAGGCCAGGTGTGATGGCTCACACATGTAATCTCAGTACTTAGGGAGGCCAAGGCAGGAGAATCACTTGAGGCCAGAAATTTGAGACCAGCCTAGGCAACATAGTGGGGTGCCATCTCTACAAAACTGTTTATTAAATTAGCCACGCATGGTGGTACACGCCAGTTAGACCCTGCTACTGAGACCTCTCAATGATGTTAGGTAAGAATTTACTACACAGATAGATCTCTGTATGGCCTTCTGTCCAATGCTGACAGCATTGTAGCAGTGACAAGCAGTGGCACCCTAGGGACCTTGGTGAATCTCCCATAGGGACCTGAAAGGCAACAGTGAAGTAGCTGAATCAGAAGATTTCAAGACTGAGTAGGAAGGGCAGAGAAAGAGGCTACCAGTGTTCATTAGGAGCAGAAGCTCGTTGGATGAGAACCCACAGCAGCTCTTACTGGTGTGGCCCTTGTCAGATGATCCCTCCATTCTGAGTATCCCAGCTAGCCCCGTCCCTCACTGTGGTCTCACAAGGTTATGATACCATATTGTTACTGTTTCTTTTCTGTGTTTCATAATGTTTAGAAACTCAAATACTCGAATTAAAAAAATAAAAATTTAAAAAATGAAAAAAGGAAACTCAAATACTTGCTGTTTTAGTGTTGCTACAAAGGAATATCTGAAGCTGGGTAATTTAGAAAGAATAGTCTATTTGGCTTATGATTCTGAACGACTGGAAGTTTGAGACTAGACATGTGCATCTGGGGAGGACCTCAGGCTGCATCCACTTATGACGGAAGGCTGGACAGGAGCCAGAGTATGCAGAGATCACATGGCAAGGGAAGAAGCAGGGGAGGTGGGGTGGGGGCAGGCTCTTTTTAACTGTCAGCTCTCACAGGAACTAATAGAGTGAGAACTAACTTCTGCAGAAGGAGAGCATAGTCTGTTCACAAGGGATCCACCCTGTGACCCAGACACCTCCCCTTGGGCCCCATCTGTCAATACTACCACACTGGGGATTAAATTTCAACATGAGATTTACTGGGGACAGATAAACCATATGAAAAACATAGCATTTGCCATTGTGTTACAGTTGCCTGCAGAATTCTGTACAGTCACCTGCTGTACAGGTTTGTAGCCTAGAAGTAATAGGTTCCACCGTAGAGCCTAGGGTATGTTTTAGGCCATCCCATCTAGGTTTGTGTAAGTTGTTCTGTGATGTTTGTGTAACGAAATCACCCTAACTATGCATTTCTCAGAATGTATTCTTGTCATTAAGCACTGTATGACCATAATTTAGTTCTAGCTTTTTCTTGGGAAGATTCTAGATTAATGAGCGACATTCAGGTGCCAGGAAGAAACTGAGATGGCTTAGAGCAATAATGTAAGATGTTTCACTTATGCCGGTTACTTTGATGATCTGCGCTTAATAAAGGCTTAATACCGGTTGAGAGTATGGCTATGAATGTTTAAGATTTTCTCTAGGTAGGGACTCCCTCTGGTATTGGCATGGAAACAAAGGAGCAGTGTCAGCACTGGCCTCTTCAGAGACTAAGCTGTGTCTTTTATGAGAGAAGCCACGTTAGCAAATACTATGCTTTAGCCCCATTGGTGTGTTAATGTGCTTAATGTGCCTTTAAAGAAAAAATCAGTCTTAGGCCTGGCGCAGTGGTTCATGCCTGTAATCCCAACACTTGGGAGGCTGAGGCCGGCTAATCACTCAAGTCCAAGAGTTTGAGACCAAGGCATTGTGGCGAAACCCTGTCTCTACTAAAAATACAAAAGAAATTAGCTGGGCTGGTTGGTACCCAGCTACTTGAGAGCTGAGGTGAGAGGATCACCTGAGCCCAGGAAGCTGTGATTGTGCCACTGCACTCCAACCTGGGCAATGGGCGTGAGAACCTGTCTTAAAAAAAAGGAAAGAAGGCTGGGCGTGGTGGCTCACGCTTATAATCCCAGCACTTTGGGAGGCCGAGGTGGGTGGATCATGAGGTCAAGAGATTGAGACCATCCTGGTCAACAAGGCGAAACCCTGTCTCAACTAAAAATACAAAAATTAGCTGGGCATGGTGGTGCGTGCCTGTAGTCCCAGCTACTCGGGAGGCTGAGGCAGGAGAATTGCTTGAACCCAGAAGGCGGAGGTTGTGGTGAGCCGAGATTGTGCCATTGCACTCCAGACTGAGTAACGAGCGCAACAGTGAAACTCCGTCTCAAAAAAAAAAAAAGGAAAGAAAATCATCAGTCTCTCTCTCAAACTAAACATGCTTACTATGTAAATGAACTCAGTCTCTGCTCTGCTTGACTCTAAGGAGCTCCTGCTGTTGAACTTTGTTTTTGACAGGTAGTATGCATTGGGTCAATGGCAGAACTTGAAGAACTCTCGGGAGCAAAGATCTCAGATCTCCACAGAGAGAGGTCAGTTTCCAAGTGTTTGATACACTTCAGTTTTATCATTCTCCTGTTAAGACCTGGTCTCTAGCAGATTACAGAGCTATACATGGAAGTGACTAGTTTGCTGAAGTACTTTGTTGATGACTCATGTCATATTGTGGTATTGTGGCCTCTGTCCTTGTGAAATGTGAGGTGAATGATGCATAAACTTTCAGATGAAGGGATTCATGGTGCTCTCGGAGAGCCTTTGAGAATTGTTGATGTTTCTGTTTGCAAATGTGTATTATATCTTGTCAGAGTTTTGTGTTTCCTATTGGCAGTTAAACTTCAAGTTCTGTTATGCTTATATTTAATAGAAATGGCTACTTTTCTGTTTGTCAGCGTTGACCACCTGACCATTCCTTCACGCTGTGGGAAGGGATCCTTGCACCGCATCTCTGAAGTGTTTGACTGTTGGTTTGAGAGTGGCAGCATGCCCTATGCTCAGGTTCATTATCCATTTGAAAACAAGAGGGAGTTTGAGGATGCTTTTCCTGCAGACTTCATTGCTGAGGGCATCGACCAAACCAGAGGATGGTATGCCCCCTTGTTCTTTCATCACTTTTTTTATTGATTTTATTTTATTTAGGGAATATTTTACTAAGTCCCTGCCATTTATCTACTTGGTGCTGGGGAGATTGTGGCAAATAAGACAAGCTTCATTCCTGCCCTCTGTCACCTACCACCAAGCATGGACATTAAAGTGCCTTTTGAATAGGAATCTCCCACTATAGTAGGGCTATAGTCTTACAATTTGAATTATCTCACTGGCATTTTAGAATATATCTATATGTTATACTGGAAGTTTAAATAATAAAAATCAATATATGTTCTTAGCTTACTCACTTGAGATCATTTAATCAAATGTATAATGAGTATTTGCATAAAAGACAGTAGGTTGGCTGCTAGACATTTGAGGAATAGTTGGAAATTTGCTTAGATATTGAGGCTAGCCTTATAAATCAACATTCTAAAAAAATCCAGATTTTTAATAATATAGGGGGAGGATTTGAGCATTGATTTATCTGGTGCTTTAGTAAAGCAGTTCTTCTTAATTGGAAAAAGGTGAATTACTTTCTTTCCATGGATGGGCTTTGCTGACTCAGGTTTTATTTTATTTTATTTTTTAAAATTTATTTATTTTTATTAACAGATATTCAGTGTTTTCTCATAATTTATTTTTATTTTTTAAGATGGAGTCTTGCTCTGCTGCCCAAACTGAAATGCAGTGGTGTGATCTCGGCTCACTGCAACCTCCGCCTCCTGGGTTCAAATAATTCTTGTGCCTCACCCTCCCAAGTAGCTGGGTCTACAGGTACCCACCACCATATCCAGCTAATTTTTGTGTTTTTAGTAGAGATGGGGTTTTCATCATGTTGGCCAGGCTGGTCTTGAACTCCTGACGTCAAGTGACCTGCCTGCCTCGGCCTCCCAAAGTACTGGGATTACAGATGTGAGCCACTTCACCCACCCCAGATTTTAATTATACATTCAGAGTAATGTTTCTGCAGGGGTTTGTTTGAGGAATTGTTGATATCATTTTCTCCTTTGACAACTTTGGGTAATCATTGAATTCAAGTCTTCATGTTCTGGAATGTGCTATTTTCAGATTCCATTCCTTTTTGTCTATAGGAACAGCTACCCAGAAAAAAAATTCTATTTTAGAAAGGGCTGGATGCCTTACCAGTGAGCTTGTTCCTTTGAGGAGTAACAACGTCTGTTAGATGGTAACAGTCCTCATATGGGTCCCGGGTTCTTGCTGCCTGCCTCCTTCTCCATCCCTGAGGTCTGGGCTGCCTCTCCTGGGCACCAGGGCTCCTCCCAATTCCTTTAGAACTGGAGTGGGCAATATCTGGACAAGTGTTTATGTTAACCATGGGGTCTGGTCTCCTCAGCTCATGTCGCTTGATGTTCCAGGAGTGCTGGACTAGGTCAGGGAAGCAGGAGAGCATCACCCCCAGGACAGAGCAGGGATATGATAGAGTTCGTTTGGGGAACAAGCTAGCATATAAATGAGGTACACAACATTTTACAGAATAAAAGCATTTTCTAGTCTGCCTTATCACTTTAGATGAGAGTGCATTTTGCATCTTTTGTCATCAGATTGTCTGTGCCATATGATCTTGGGCCACCCCTCATTTTTAGCCAGGCACTTCTGGGTTGTCCTAAAAGGCCACCCAGTGCTGCCTTGTGGCTTTCCACATTGGCTTCCTGGGAGACCTGGTAGCAGAGAAGTGGTCAGTAAATCACTCCGGACCTTTATTTCATGTTTGTTTTTTTTTTTTTTTTATCATAGACTGTAATTTGACTGGTCTCTGGTAGGTCCTGTGTCTCTGTTTTTTTTTTTGTTGTTGTTTTCTTCCGGTAACCAGGATTAAGAATCATTGCTTTAAGTCACTATCAAATAGTATGATTTATCAAAAATAGAAATTTAGTTCAGGCTGGGCGCAGTGGCTCAAGCCTGTAATCCCAGCACTTTGGGAGGCCGAGGTGGGTGGATCACGAGGTCAAGAGATCGAGACCATCCTGGTCAACAAGGTGAAACCCCATCTCTACTAAAAATATAAAAAATTAGCTGGGTATGGTGGTGCACGCCTGTAGTCCCAGCTACTCGGGAAGCTGAGGCAGGAGAATTGCCTGAACCCAGGAGGTGGAGGTTGCGGTAAGCCGAGATTGTGCCATTGCACTCCAGCCTGGGTAACAAGAGCAAAACTCCGTCTCAAAAAAAAAAAAAAGAAAAAGAAATTTAGTTCAATGAATAAATATAGTTTCTTTCTTATACTTGGACTTCATTTCTATTTTTATTGAACTGTTGGACTGTTGGGGTTTTTTCAGGTTTTATACCCTGCTGGTGCTGGCCACAGCCCTCTTCGGACAACCGCCTTTCAAGAATGTAATTGTGAATGGGCTCGTCCTGGCAAGGTAGGTCAACTCCTTTGTTGTAGTGATAGATGGAGCTTTGTCTCCACTGTTTCTCAAGAAGAAGTGCGTGAGAGCTAAGCCTGATGGAGGTGGAGGAAGGGGAGGACTTTCAGACTGTGCTACTACTAGTAACATAATGCTACTTAGTGATATTACTAGTAATAAAATAGCATTTACTAAAGTTAGCATTTTATGAAGTACTTTTGCTTATACATTTTATTTCATCTGTACATCAGTCCTTTCATGTAGATTTTGTTGTCCTTTTTTTTAACACATGAGGAAGTTGTGGGTCCTAGAGACCACAGGTGCCCAGGATCGAAGCTAGTGACAGCCACACCACGTTCAACCCAGGTGCTCTGCCACCAGATCCCATTCTCCCCCTCATCTAAAACTTCCTCCCAGTGGGTGTTACTTCCTGCTTTTTAATATTTTAAAGGAGTCTCATTTTTCATTTATTACCTCTAGTCATTAAGGATAAAAGTAAACATAAACAAAAATTTAAATGAAATATTTACCCACACACAAATCCTGCTTTATATGCTGTGTGAGGAGGAAGAGGATGTCACCTAACATTTTTTGCATATTTTGTTTTGCTAGGCCCCATTGTGTGCATTTTCACGTCTTAACTCATTTAATCCTCGGAACCATTTGAGATGGGTCCTATAATTACCCCATTTTGACCTTTGAGGAATCTGAGGGACAGGAAAAGATCACACAGCAAATGAGTGATAAATGGAAGTTTGAACTCAGGCAGTCTGCCTCTGTGGTATGTGTACTGCCTTTTTTTTTTTAAATTGAGAATTGTATTAAGAGCTTGGTGCTGTGGCTCATGCATGTAATCCCAGCACTTTGGGAGGCTGAGGTAGGTGGATCACCTGAGTTCAGGAATTTGAGACCAGCCTGGCCTTGGTGAAATCCCATCTCTACTAAAAATACAAACATAGCAAGTGCAGTGGTGCACACCTGTAATCCCAGCTACTTGGGAGGCTGAGGCACAAGAATCTCTTGAACCTGAGAGGTAGAAGTCGGAGTGAGCAAAGATCACTGTACTCTAATCTGGGTGATAGAGTGAGGCCCCATCTCAAAAAATAAAGGAAAATTGTAATGAAATCATTGTAGATTTGCATGCAATCTTGAAAAATAATAGAGAGCCCTTATATTCTTTGCTCAGTTTCCCTCAGTGGTCACATTTTGCACAATCACAGTATGTATCACAACCAGAATATTGATACAGTCCACCAATCTTTTTTTTTTTTTGAGACGGAGTTTCGCTCTTGTTACCCAGGCTGGAGTGCAAAGGCGCGATCTTGGCTCACTGCAACCCCCGCCTCCTGAGTTCAAGAAATTCTCCTGCCTCAGCCTCCTGAGTAGCTGGGATTACAGGCACGCGCCACCATGCCCAGCTAATTTTTTGTATTTTGAGTAGAGACGGGGTTTCACCATGTTGACCAGGATGGTCTCGATCTCTTGACCTCGTGATCCACCCGCCTCGGCCTCCCAAAGTGCTGTGATTACAGGCTTGAGCCACCGTGCCCGCCAGTCTTATTCAGATTTCCCTAGTTTTATAGATATTTATTTCCTTATATGCATTTACTTATACACAACTATCATATGTGTAGGGTTTTGTATTCACCAGCACAGTCAAGATACTGGATGATTTCAACGCCAAAGGCTCCCTCCTGCATTTCCCTTTAATAACTACATTCATTCGCCACTGACCTTCCCACTGTCATCCCTAATCCGTGGCAACCACTGGGTTTTTCTCCATCTCTATAATTTTGTCATTTCAGGAATGTTATATAAATAGAATCATACAGTAACTAATTTGGGGGCATTGGCTTTTTTTCTTTTTCTGTTTTTTTTGAGACGAAATCTCACTGTGTCACCCAGGCTGGAGTGCAGTGGCTCAATCTCGGCTCACCGCAACCTCCACCTCCTAGGCTCAAGCGATTCTCCCATCTCAACCTCCTGAGTAGCGGGGACCACAGGCATGCGCCTCCAAGCTCATATTTTGTATTTTTGGTAGAGAAAGGGTTTTACCATGTTGGCCAGGCTGGTTTTGAGCTCCTGAGCTCAGGTTATCCATCTGCCTCAGCCTCCCAAAGTGCTGGGATTACAGGCTTGAGCCACAGCACCCAGCTGACTTTTTTTCAATCCACATAATTCCATTGAGATTTCAGATGGCTGCACATACCAATAGTTCATTCCTTTCTATGGTTAAGTAGCATTCTGTATTATGGGTATGCCATGGTTTGTTTGACCATCTACCTCTTGAAGGACATCTGGGTTGCTTCTAATGTTTGCCAATTGTGAATAAAGCTGCTGTGAACAATTGTTTTAAAGGTTTTTATGATAATGTAAATTTTCATTTCTCTGGGACATATTCTGACACGGCTTCCTGTTTCAGTCTACCCTGAAACTTCCTCACTATGCTATTCAAGAAGAAGTTTGCAAATATTAAAATATCTTACTGTTGTATCTTAACACTTTCCGTTTCTTGTTTGAGATGGAGTCTTGCTCTGCTGCCCAGACTAGAGTGTAGTGGTGTAATCTCAGCTCACTGCAACTTCTGCCTCCCAGGCTCAGGCAATTCTCCTGCCTTAACCTCCCCAGTAGTGGGGATCACAGGTGTGTACCACCACGCCTGGCTAATTTTCATATTTTTAGTAAGAGACAGGGTTTCATGGTGTTGGCCAGGCTGGTCTTGAACTCCTGACCTTAGGTGGTCCACCTGCCTTGCCCTCCCAAAGTTCTAGGATTAATATAATGAGGCACTGTGACTGGCCTATTAACACTAACTTCTAAGTTACTCTTTCCCATTTCCTCTTTTGTATTCCTATTTGCAAATGCTTTGTATCCTTATATCAAGATCGTCTGTGATATTGACTTACTTAATTGGCATCTCTCTTTTGTTTTACAAGTGATGGCCAAAAAATGAGCAAACGGAAAAAGAATTATCCAGATCCAGTTTCCATTATCCAGAAGTATGGTGCTGATGCGCTCAGGTACAAACCGGTACTTTGCCTTGTGTGTATTTATTGTTTTTTATGTAAGCGTCTCCTATACTATTAGTCAGAATTCTTAGATTTGGTTTATAGTTAGGTTTTTAACAACCTATCTGTTATAATTTGGGTGTTATGTTGGTATACTTGTTGATCTTCAACTCCCCAAATAGTTTTCTAGATAATAAAGGCATTTTTAAACCCAGAGGTCTGTTTGGGGAAGAGCACCTCTGTTGGGTGTTGTTGAGCTGTCCAAGTCCTCCCCAGGCTAGATGCGGATTGCCTCTGCATTACTTCCTTTCTAGGTTCCCTGTCCTGTTGGTATTCGAATTCTCTTTCATCATTTATTTTAATTTTGTACTTAGAGAGCGATATGAGATACATCTATGCTAGAGCTAATAAAAAACTAATATTGAAAAGCTTTTGGGGAAATTTGAGCCACTGCTTGAGGTAGTTGGAATCACAAAATCACACAACGTTCAAGTTGAAAGGGACCCAGAGATCTTGTTCAGCATCTTTTTGTCCTGGACATGAGACCAATGCCCAGGCCTGTGACAGAGCACCTTCATATAGTACCTGTGTTGCCCAGGAGCCATTAGTGTGGGGCTCTCCCCGCAACTCTCCGCTGTCTCTTAGACTCACCCTTGGCACGGCTGGCCATTTGGGCTGGGTAATTCTTTGTGGTAGTAATTTTTTGTAGGATGTTTAGCAGCATCCCTGACCTCTGCCCACCAAATGTCAAGACTCTGTTCTGTGAAGGCTGCTCCTTATGAGTTCCTCTGACTGCAAGCAGCAGATGTGCAGGTCGTGTCCATGGTGGCTCTTAACAAGGACCAGGCCAGCCTTACTCTTGGTACTAGTGTACCACATTGGTCCTGCATTGAGACTGGCATAAGATGCATTTTGGTGCCATATTTTGTTATCAGATGATATATGCTATTTATAATTTGCTAGGTCTCTTACACAAAGCGAGAGTGAGTTTTGTAAGTTTTGAATTGACCGCTCAAAGAGTATTCATAGTTTCCCCCTTTCATAGAAAGTAGGCTGATTTTCATCTTGCTCTCTCAATATGTCAAGTAGTAATAATTGGTTTATTATCTAAGCATCTTTTTTGTCTAATTTTTCTCCCTCTTCCAGATTGTATCTGATTAACTCCCCTGTGGTGAGAGCAGAAAACCTCCGCTTTAAAGAGGAGGGTGTGCGGGACGTCCTTAAGGACGTACTGCTCCCATGGTACAATGCCTACCGCTTCTTCATCCAGAACATTGTGAGGCTTCAGAAGGTATGGGCTGCAGGGGGCTGCCAGCCACGTCTCCACAGTGCTCCCTTCACCAAGCTGTGTGGTGGAGCTGTGTGTGTGACTGTAGGGCTGCTGTTCTCTGCTGCCTGTTGCTGGTAACTTAGAGTCATTGGGAGGCCATATACTCAGGTGGGGAAGGTATCTGGGGTCTGGGCTGTGCCAGGACCATGGGGGCCTCACCTGCAGAAGGGTTGTGTTATATAGTTGTTTAGTCAGCCAGTTCTTTTTTGGGGGGGTGGGGGGAGGGGAGGATTCTCAGTCTTGTCACCCAGACTGGAGTGCAAAAGTGCAATCTTGGCTCACTTCAACCTCTGCCTCCTGGGTTCGAGCAATTCTTCTGCCACAGCCTCCCCAGTAGCTGGGATTACAGGAGCCCACCGCCATGCCCAGCTAATTTTTTTCTATTTTTATTGGAGATGGGGTTTCACCATGTTGGCCAGGCTGGTCTCAAACTCCTGACCTCAGTTGATCCACCCACCTTGGCCTCCCAAAGTGCTGGGATTACAGGCATGAGCCACTGCGCCCGGCCTAATCAGCCAGTTCTTGGTACCAGAAATGCCATGTTGAGTGAGACACCCCTCCCGGCTATGGAACCAGTGGAGAGGGAATTGGGAGAGATAGTAAAGAGTCAGCTACTTTTAGAGAGAACACCCAGTGAAGACAGAGTCACAGAAGCTAGCTATGGGTGGGTGCTTGAGGTGGGTGGTCAGAGAGCGCCCCTCAGTGGGGTGGCATTTGGGCTAATCTAAGAGTGATAGTAATTCTTCATGGAGTTTTCAGTGGGTTGTTAGGATGACAAATAACAATTGTGATATATGTGAAAGTGTACTTCAAGGGCAGTTACCTCCACACCCAGGAGTTACTCTCTCACCTGAGAAGCCCTTGCTCTGGGGCCACCTTCCATGCCCCACAACTGACCACTGTCAGGGTCCATCACCTTCATTGCACATCTTCCTGTGTGGACTTTCAAGACCTGATTGGGGGTCAGGGATCCAGTATTGCACATCTTATCTCCAGCAGCTTACAAGTAAAATTGCTTGTAAGTTACTGTTGAATGAACATGAGATGTTATTCCTGCTTTAGCAGTTCAAAAAGCTGGTTGAAGAAATGAACTCTTGTCATCTCACTCTTCTGCTCCCCTTGGGCTCTGGTCGTCCTGCTAATGAGGACACATCATGTTCATCTGAGGCTCTCAGAGTAGACTTTCCGCAGGAATTGATAAAGGTAGTTGTCCTCCCCAGGCTCCCAGCGTTCTTCCTCTCTGCAGCCCTGTTACCTTTCCTGCATATGGTACTGTGCCTAATAGGGCCAACAATCTTTGCGCAGGTGCACGCTGCAGGCCTCCACTGGAATGGGACCCAGAAATGCAGGCTGGGTCAAAGCTCTCCACAGCAAGGGGCCATCTGAGCATACCAGCAAGATGCAGACGCCACAATCAAATGCTTAAACCTAGAGGAAGAGTCACATTATCACTGCCCTGCCAGCCTGGTTGTGGTGCTGCCAGAGAAACAAAGCAGGACATGAGTTCTGTGTGTGGAGCAGGGACTTAAGATCAAGGATGATTTTGCAAAGCAAAAAGAGTGAGATAGAACATTCTGGGTAAAATGAGCAGCTTTAACATGGCAATTACTTCCCAGTACTCATTTTCAGTTTGCAGACAATCATTCAGTCCTAGACAGTTTTACTGTCCTTCCTTCCTGAGGTTTAAAGTAACTAAACCCTACACTTTCTGACAAGGTTTTAAAATATCTCTCAATTCATAATTACTCTTCGGTGCAGAGAAGTAATGTTTTTCTAAACTCTTTTCAGTTCACTCAAAAACATAATTAATACAGGAAGGACTTAAGGTCTCACATTGGTGCTTATCTTGAAAATACTGCTGAAAATCAGAAATTCATATTGCCAGTGGGCTTTGGGATTTTTGGTTTTGGTTTTGTTTAAGTGATTTAAAAAGTTTATTTCCCTGTAGTAGCTTCCCCCAGTGTGCAAGTGTTTTATTAATTGTTCATTCCTAGGAAGAAGAAATAGAATTTCTCTACAATGAGAACACAGTTAGAAAAAGCCCCAACGTTACAGACCAGTGGATCCTGTCCTTCATGCAGTCTCTCATTGACTTCTTTGCGACTGAAATGGCAGGTGAGTCTCTCTTGGTCTGTCCTCCCAGAACTACTCTCTTTGTAACTGCCCTTTTGGTATGTATCTGTCTATAAACATACTGCAAATAGTGAGAGATAAAGAAAATTAAATAATTACTTCCTTTCACCTCTCATGTAGTTTTGTTAAGGCTTGTTAATTGTTGAGATGTCTTTGTTTCAAGGCCCTGGGGAATTCTGACCTGGCGTGGTGGCTCACACCCATAATTCCCAGCATTTTGGAAGGCCGAGGCAGGTAGATCATCTGAGGTTAGGAGTTCCAGACTAGGCAAACATTGGTGAAACCTCGGTTTTTTTTTTTTTTTTGAGACGGAGTTTTGCTCTTGTTGTTACCCAGGCTGGAATGCAATGGCATGATCTCGGCTCACCACAATCTCCCCCTCCTGGGTTCAGGCAATTCTCTTGCCTCAGCCTCCCCAGTAGCTGGGACTACAGGCACGCACCACCATGCCCAGCTAATTTTTTGTATTTTGAGTAGAGACGGGGTTTCACCATGTTGACCAGGATGGTCTCGATCTCTTGACCTCGTGATCCACCCGCCTTGGCCTCCCAAAGTGCTGGGATTACAGGCATGAGCCACCACTCCCGGCATCTAAAAATATATTAAAGAAAAAATTAGCTTTCCATGGAGGTGGGCACGTGTAATCCCAGCTACTCAGAAGGCTGAGTCAGGAGAATCGCTTGAACCTGGGAGGCAGAGGGTGCAGTGAGTCGAGATTGCACCACTGCCTGGGTGACAAGAATGAAACTCCATCTTTAAAAAAAAAAAAAAAAAAGAAGAGGCAGCAACCCTGGGGAATTCTGTCTTTAATGGGTGTCTTGGTGAGCTCAACCCTCCACAGAAGAGATTTGGAGCTTGACAGCTGTAGGTTCAAAGCCCAGCTCTACCACTTGTTCCCAATCCAGAGAGTTGCCTGAAGTCTGACCATCAGTTTCTTTCTTTTTTTTTTTTTTAATGGGTACACAGATGTATATATTTATGGGGTATATGACATATTTTTAGACAGGCATACAATGTGTAATAATCACATCAGGGTAAATGTGGTACCCGTCACCTCAAGCATTTATTGTATCTTTGTGTTGCAAACATCCAAATTATACCCTTTTAGTTGTTTTTAAATGTTGACTGTAATCACCCCATTGTGCCATCAGATACTACTCATTCAATCTATCTTCACTTTCTTTGTCTTTATCTGCACAATGCCTATTAGTGTTTGTAAGGCTTAAGTAGAGACGATTTACATGAAGTAGCTGGCAGATAATAGGTAGTCAATAAAAAATACTTGTTATTATAATAAAATAAGTTATTACATTTATAACTTATTTTTAGGTCTATTTTTATTACTGAATAGTCCACATCTTTTCCAGGAAAATCAGAAAAGTCAGAAGAGCAGTAATGAAATGGACATTTTGCTATATTTCTATTAACTAACAACAGTAAGTTTGTTAGGTAATTTTACAGATTCAAAACTACATTTTGTTGAGTTCCTCAGGGTTTCAGATAGTTACAACCATAGGTCCAGGTGAGACATCTGGGACACCTCAGACAATCAGTTATAGTGGGCAGGCAGAGGCCCTGGGTCACAGTGAGGATGAAAGAGGGCAAGGCAAATCCATCCTCACAGGACCCTGCAGATCCTGCTGCTGCTGGGCATAGCAGCGGCTGCCAGAGACCTGGGATTCACCATTAGCCTATATACTGGCACATGCCACTCCCTGGAAAAGGCAGTACTGCCCCACGTAGCACAAAAAGATTGTTAATCAGTCACCCTAAAGGATTTGTCCACCTTGTTAAACATGTAGAAGGATCATGACAGTCCAGCTGTTGCTCAGATGGACATGGATGAAGATGGAAGTGAGTGTGAGGCTGATTCCTGCCCTGAGGAGGGCAACACTAGGAGTCCAGCACATTCTGCCCAGACTGCTCACAGCTGTGTCTGCTTTTCCGTCCTGAGTGATACGAGTGGGTGGGAAATGTGGAGATTGTTGCTTGGAGCAGCTGCCACAACCTGGTGAAGGTGGGTCTGGAGAGTGTGCATCCTGACTGGAGCCTCATCTGCCTGGAAACTAAAGATCAGCAGCCACGTTGTGTGGGTCATATTTAAGTCCCAGCTCTGCCAGCCTGTCAGCTTCATGCCCTCCATTCCCTCAGCAGCACTGTGGGTGTGAGAGGACCTGGCTCACAGGGTCACAGTGGCCTGGGTAGTGGCTGCTGCTGCCCCCGTGTGTTCTAAGTTGATTCATTGCATGTGGAGTTTATTATTCCCACAGAGTTGAAACCAGAATATAGAAAACCTGAGGTTCCTGGAAGGTAAAAAGTGGTGTGAACCCTAGAAATCATTTAGACAGACCTCAGTCACTGAAATCACCTGTTGAGGAAAGTGTGATTAGCTCACAACTCTGGCCTGGGGCTCAGCCCACTGGCACCCGAGTTCTGGTCTTTGTGAACAGCAGCAGAGAGCAGCTCTGCCCGTTGCAACTTCTCATCTCTTTAGCTTAGACCAGAAGCCTCATTAAAACTCCCTGGATTCTTTTCATGATCATAAATTGTGTTTGTTTCTAAGTGTTGGTTTTTTGGTGTTTGTTTTTATGCAACAGAGTATTAATTTAAAGGGGAGGTGAGTGAGAATCCTTAAAATAAGCCTTGCCTCAGACACGACTGGCTAAACACTCTTTCCTGCCTGACCTCTGAGTTTTTCAGGGAACCCTTCAAATCCTCCTAATTCCTCAACGACTTTCATTACCTCTTTTGCTGTTTTCACTTGACTGTTTTAATACTTAGAAAGCAAGTGCCAGGTCATCCTCTGTGGTGGGGCTATGCTGTGCATGATAAGATATTGAACACCATCTCTGGGGTCTACCCATTAGATTCCAGTAGCACCATGCTACCCACCAAGTTGTGGCAAGCAAACTGTTTTTTAAAACATTGACACATGTTCCTCGCAGGGCAAATGGCTTTTGTTTGAGAATCACTGGCCTATGCTGTGCCTTTTAGCATCTGATTTGAGCTTTTTGTATGTCTTTTAGTTGCAGTACCATGTACTGCAATAGAAAGGAGTTGGGCATTTTTTATGCTGTCAAATTGCACAGCTCCCTGTAAATGGTATTTCCTATACTTGTGTATTGGGCAGCCTTGGACTTTGATCCACACATGTTGGAGTTTTTGGCTTTTTTCACTGACCAGTGGGAATTCTCAGGTGGCTCAGGATGGTTTTTTGTGTGCATCTCGAAATACCTTGACTGCCATGTAGCACATCCTCAGCAAATGGTCGTTACATGATTGCTTCATTTTGTATCTTAGTAAGTGGAGGCCCTTGGATAGAAGAGGCGGCCTGGCCCGTTCTTTGTTGTATCAGCCCTCTCCCCACCCCAGGTGCCTGGTACTCACTTGCTGCCTGATTGACTTGTCTTACTTTTAGCTTATAGGCTTTACACTGTGGTGCCTCGCCTTGTCAAGTTTGTAGATACTCTCACCAATTGGTATGTTCGAATGAACCGCAGAAGATTAAAGGTAAGTGCAGATTGCTGTTGCCAAAAGCAAAAAGCACATGAAGTTTGAGAGTAGAAGAAATCTGGGAATAGCCCAAAGGGAAAGGAACATTTTCAGATGCTCTCAGTATTTGAAGCCATGTTTTTCTTCTCCTTTTACATTGCATTTTAACTATATTTGTCATTTGAGGCATAGGGATCTATAAGTTCTAAAAGTCATTTTGCATTTTTTTTCACAACAATTACGTACATATAATATATTGGAGGGAGAATGTCAGGGCACCAACAGGACTAAACTGAGCAGACCTCTTAATATTTGAAATAAAGTCATGCAAATATTTTATAAAAATATTGGTAGGTATGGCTTTAATATTGAGAGGAATACCGCCTTCCTTTTACCACAAGGGAGTTGGTTATTTGGCTATGGACAGAACTCCTGTGTAGCTGTTGTGGGTTTAGGATGAATAAAGCATAGGTCCTGGTCTCAGGACTTAACAAGGTACATAAATAACAATGATGTATAACAGGGAGAGTGAAGTCTCTTTACCTTAGGCCCAGTAAAGGCTCCCACCACCCATTAGTCGTGTCTTTTTATTTATTAATTAATTTATTTTTTCAGACAGAGTTTCACTCTTGTCACCCGGGCTGGAGTGCAATGACAGGATCTCGACTCACTGCAACCTCTACCTCCCGGGTTCAAGTGATTCTCCTGCCTCAGTCCCCTGAGGAGCTGAGATTACAGATGTGTGCCACCACGCCCAGCTAATTTTTGTATTTTTAGTAGAGACAGGTTTCACCATTTTGGTGAGGCTGGCCTTGAACTCCTGACTTTATGTGATCCACCTTCCTTAGCATCTCAAAGCACTGATATTGCAGGCGTGACCTGCCGCACGCAGCCAGTCATGGCTTAAAATACATTAATAATAAAACCCTGCAACACAACTATAATTTCGTTTTTGTGCAGGTGTATCTCACACACACATATTCAGGACATATGCTAAGATGTGTACAGTAGTTATCTCTGGATAAGTTATTCATGGTTGAAATTTTTTCATTATCTTCATTTTTCCTACAATGAATTAGTTTTTTTTAATACACAGTATATGCTTTTTTAACATAAAATATCTTATTTAAAGGCACTTAAAATTTTCAGTTAGCAGCTGTTTCTGTCTGTTGTGGGTAGATCCATTCTGCCCTCAGCCTTTTGGTCCTACAGTTAGGCTTTACTTTCCTATCAGCTCACCTCAGGTTGGGGTAGAGGGACAGCAGCTGCACATCCTGGCCAAGCTTCCTGCACTGCCTTGCAGGGCCACCCTAGACAGCCTGTGGTCATGGCCCTTTCTTCCTACTCTGCCTCGTGTCCTGTCTGTGCTACATGCTGTTTGAGGGTTGCCTCTTTTTAATCAACTTTTTATTTAAATGTTAAACATTTATTTTAGCAGTTTAAAGTTTAACTTTATGTTTCCTTTTTATTCATTAGGGTGAAAACGGGGTGGAAGATTGTGTCACGGCCCTAGAAACCTTGTTTAGTGTTCTGCTTTCTCTTTGCAGACTTATGGTAAGATGGCTGGCTTCTTTCTAGTACCCTTTGCCCTGTGTGCTGCGTTCGGTTCCCACTTGCTGCAGCGTCCTCCTTTTATATCTATTGTCTGTTATTCCACCAAAAAACAGAAATAGACGTTTTATAACAGCTTATAGCTATAGTTTCTTTTCCGAAATCTTATTAGCTTATACATGTTAAGTAAGGACTAAGAAATACTGGATTTTTTTCTTCCAATCTCTGGTAGTATAGTGTATGTCAGGGCCCTTGGCTCGAGAAGGAGGATCTACAGTAAGACACACCTCCTCTTAATGTGGATAGGCATAAGTGTGAATAATGGGGAAGTTCTTCAGCTAATACCTGTCCTAGCAAATATATCATAAAACATACTTTGACTTAGCATTGAGAGGAAAACATGCAAGTAATTGATATATGTTCCTATCAGTTCAAATATTAGTTAAATAATAATAAAGTAGAAAGGCTCCAACTTGCTTTTTATCCTGTTTCTGCTACTCCATATATTACAAGGCTCCTATTTATTCCTTAACTGAAGGAAAATCTGTTTTGTACAAGGTCCTGTGCCTGATCCTCTCCATACCTGATCTCATCACCTTCATCCCATGAAGCAGGGGCTGTTTTCCCCAGTTTACAGATGAGGTTTCTGCGGTTTGGTACAGTCAGTCCTCTGTGCATATTGACTTGGCTGATATATCATTAGGTGCTCCTGTTTCTATTTTAGACATCCTTCAGAATTCTGGAAATGCTTTGGGTTTTCCTGGCTACAGTCCTACAGCTATGCTTCAGGCCTGTGAGGCCATTTCTCATTCATAGGGCGTGTTTTGTAACCTCATGCCCATTTCAGTGCATATTACTGTGTTGCTAACATGTTTAGTTGTTTCTCAGTATAAATGAGGTCAGTTGTTGATAACTGCATGTGACTGACATGATGTCCTGTGTCTTCATATAGGCTCCCTACATACCTTTTCTCACTGAATTGATGTACCAGAATCTAAAGGTGCTGATCGACCCTGTTTCTGTTCAAGACAAGGACACACTCAGCATCCACTACCTCATGCTGCCCCGTGTTCGGTAGGAATCAAATAGTAATGTCTCACCTGTGCCAAGGAGGGAGAGTTGCTCAAGCATGTGGGAAACAGGAGGCATTTTTCTGTTCCAGCTCCCTCTGTGCCCTGCCTCCCACCCTAGCCCCCAGCTGACATGAACCCCTCCTCAGGTTGCATGGTGGGGCCCACATTGGTACATGGTAGCAGGGATGATTGGTATGGAACCCTGTTGTAGAGCTGCAGCATGTGGGGTGTGGGCATGCCCCATGGGGGCCCCTTGGGGAGGTGCCGGGTGCTGAGGCAGGCTCAGGCTGCTGCCTCCTTCTCTGTCCCCCAGGCGGGCACTGTGCTGCCCTTCCCCCGGTGCCTCATCAGGAGGGCCTGGCCACACTTCTGTAGCCTAACCCTCTTCCTCGAGTAAGCATGCCTGAGGTCTTGAATTTTCCTTTTAAATCTAATCTTTTTCATATTCCTACCTTTACCACTCAGAGAAGAATTGATTGATAAGAAAATAGAGAGTGCAATATCTCGGATGCAGTCTGTGATTGAACTTGGACGAGTGATCAGAGACCGCAAAACTATTCCCATAAAGGTTTGAAATTTTACTTCTATTTTACATGGCACCGACCTAAACATTTAAGTCTTTGGAATGTTTTCTTAATATAGAGAGCTTCCAGAAATGGCCTTTTTTCTTTTCTGCAGTGAGAGTGTGAATGACTTAGTACTAGTCCAGCCTGACTAGTCTAGAGCTTGAGGTTCAAATAAACATTTAATATTCATTTTTCTGCAGTTTACAGGACTGGCTGTTGAGTGACCTTTCCCCTCTCTTTTCCTCCTAGTATCCTTTGAAAGAAATTGTGGTTATCCATCAAGATCCAGAAGCTCTTAAAGATATCAAGTCTTTGGAGAAGTATGTCATTGAGGTAAGATGGATGACTTGTCTGTTTTGGGTACAAATAGACTTTTCTTGAGAACATTATTTCGATGAATAATCTTTAATAAAGTACACATTGACTGTATAATTTATTTTTATTAGTATATTCATAAAAAATTCAACAATCCATCATATTTTACACTCTGCTTGGGATCAGCATAAATTTATTATAATTCTTTTAAAAATATTTCAAGATCAATGAATTTTTTTACCTATCACCTGTCATCTTCATTTGCTTCTCTTCTGTGTTGAAGTACTTTTCTTTTTTTTGTGACAGAGTCTCACTCTGTCACCGAGGCTAGAGTGCAGTGATGAATTACCACAACCTCCACCTCCCAAGTTCAAGCGATTCTCCTGCCTCAGCCTACCGAGTATCTGGAACTACAAGCACTGCCACTGCACCCGGCTAATGTTTGTATTTTTAGTAGAGGCGGACTTTCACCATGTTAGCCAGTCTGGTCTTAAAACTCCTGATCTCAAGTGATTTGCTCGCCTTGGCTTCCCAAAGTGCTGGGATTATAGGCATGAGCCCCACTTCGCCTGGCCTTCTGAAGTACTTTTTAATAACTGCCAAAGAAACTTTGTTCCTCTAAATTATTCAAGTGACGAGTGCCCTCCCATTGGTTATAAATAGTCAAGGCACTAGCATAGTAAGCCTCTTTCCAATCCATCTCTCCTGGAGTCTCACTTCCTGGCTGCTTCATAATTTATATAATTACTCTCCTGTTGTTTGAATTTAGGTTTCTGATTACAAACAAAAGCTATGTATGTACATATATGCATATATCACTGTAGGGATATTGGGTAGATACCAGAAGTGGAGTTTGGGGGTCAAAGTTTATAGTGTCAGTTGGCTTTCTAAACCTCTTTATTTCATGATTTTTTAAAAAATAAATATGTTTACCTCAACTTCTTTGTGGTGCTAGAAAATAAATATTTTTTAAAATTTCATTGTTTATTCTTTTCACAGGTAATATTTAAAATCGTTATTGTAGAAAATATTAATTTCTATATTGTTTTCAGTTGCTTGAGAATTCCAGAGAAATATTAGAAACTGAAAATTAGACTGTAAATTCTGAAATTAGTGCCTGTGGTTATGCATAAAATAGAACTTTTTTTTGTTTTTCTTGAGACAGGATCTCGTTCTGTCACCGAGGCTGGAGTGCAGTGATGTAATCTTGGCTCACTATAACCTCCATCTCCTGGGCTCGGGCAATCCTCCCACCTGTCTCCCAGATAACTAAGATTAGGCATAGTAGTACAGGCTTTTGTACAGATGTGGTTTGACCATGTTACCCAGTCCAGTCTCTTAACTTCTGAGCTCAAGCAATCCTCCCACCTTGGCCTCCTGAAGTGCTAGGATTACAGGTGTGCACCACTGTGCCCAGCTGAAAACATTTTAAATAAATTACATCAGTCACTTAAAATGAGATAAATTAATTAGCTAAATACAATGGCAAAACTAAACATTCCATAGTATTTGCTTCAAACTATTGTTCTCATGAGATCTCATTTTCCCGTCTACTGTGCCATCACCATCCCTGCTGCATCAGTAATCCTCAGTAGCATGACTGAAGCATGAAATGTTCTGTTTAACTGATTCATCTGCTTGGTTGATAGTTAACCTTGTGGTACTCTGAAATTGCTTGCACAAAGGTTACCTCTGAGGGATGAAATTTATATTTCTGGTTCTAGAGTCCTTTTTCTGTTATGCTCAACATGTCTTGGTAGATCTTCATAAGAAGCATTTTTTTCTTTCCATACAAGTCACTGGTTTTTAGGCATATTTATAGAATTGTACAACCATCACCACAGTTTTAGAACATTTTCATTATCCCAGAAAGAAACCCAGTATTCATTAGCATTCAGACACCATTTTCCCCTTGATACCCGACCATTTCCCGGCATCTACGAACCTATTTGCTGTCTCTGGGTTTGCCTTCTCTGGACATTTCATATTAGTGGAATCGTACAATTTGTAATTTTTATGTCTGGCATATTTCAGCTAGCATAATGTTTTACATTAATTTATGTTTTAGCATGTGTGAGTGCTTCAGTCCTTCATATTGCTAAATATTTCATTGCATGTGTCTGCAGTATTATTTTATCCATTCACTGTTGATGGACATTTGAGCTGTTCTTACTTTCTGGCTGATGTTGCTGTGGACATATGTTTTTGTGTGAACATATGTTTTCATTTTTGTTTCCTCTTGTGCACTAACTATAGGAATTAAATGTTCGAAAAGTTACACTGTCTACAGATAAAAACAAGTATGGCATTCGGCTAAGGGCAGAACCAGATCACATGGTCCTGGGGAAGCGTCTGAAGGGAGCCTTTAAGGCAGTGATGACGTCCATCAAGCAGCTGAGCAGTGAGGAGCTGGAGCAGTTCCAAAAGACTGGTAGGTATCTACACAGAGAAGGGTGAACCTTTCATCTCCTCAGGCTGAGGGTTATTTTGTATTTAGGTTACTGTTTGACTTTAATATCACACATCCTTTCTTTCTTTTTCTTTTTCTTTTTCTTTTCCTTTCTCTTTTTTCTTTTCTCTTCTTTTTCGAGATGGAAGCCCACTCTGTCACCTGGCCTGGAGTACAGTTGCACAATCTCAGCTCACTGCAACCTCTGCCTCCCAGGTTCAAGCAGTTTTCCTGCCTCAGCCTCTAGAGTAACTGGGATTACAGGTGCCTACCCCCACACCTGGCTAATTTTTGTATTTTTAGTAGAAACAGGATTTTGCCATTTTTGCCAGGCTGGTCTCGAACTCCTGACCTTAGGTGATCTGCCACCTTACCCTCCCAAAGTTCTGGGATTACATGTGTGAGCCACCACACCTGGCCATCATTTTCTTAAATAAAACTTTTTTTCTGTTCATAAAAATGTTTTTTATTTTTATTATTATTATTATTTTTGAGATGGAGTCTCGCACTGTCACCAGGGCTGGAGTGCAGTGGCATGATCTCAGCTCACTGCAACCTGAGCCTCCCAAGTAGCTGGGATTACAGGCGCCTGCCACCTTGCCCAGCCATTTTACTTATTTATTTATTTGTATTTTTTTAGTAGAGTCAGGGTTTCGCTATGTTGGCCAGGCTGGTCTCAAACTCTTGACCTCATGATCCACCCGCCTCGGCCTCCCAAAGTGCTGGGATTACAGGTGTGAGCCACTGTGCCTGGCCATAAATAATTTTTATAATTTAGAAAGAAAATAGCTAGGTACAGTGCCTCACACCTGTAATCCCAGTACTTTGGGAGGCCCAGGTGGGCAGACCACTTGAGATTACTACAGGTGCATATTACGACAGTTAGTCAGGTGTGGTGATATGCACCTGCTATTCCAGTTATTCTGAGAGGCTGAGGTGGGAGGATCCCTACAGCCTAGGATAATTTTTGTCCTTATTCATGGTGCTTGCCGACATTAAAGATTTGGGAAAATAATTATGGTTTTGATAAATGCTATAAAGGGAAAATACAGGGTAATAATAAAAACATGTATCGGGGTACCTAACCAAATGATGGGATTGGGAAAGGGAAATTAGCCCCATCTCGCCACCCCTCTACAGAGCATTTCAGGGTGCCCAAAAATTTGCAGCTCTGCTGTGATTAGAATCATACGTGGTTTCAGTGTGGCTGTCTCACATCCTTTAGCTGTCCTGTGGCACAAACTATTTATTATTAGGGCTTCCTCTGAAGTTGAAAATCATAAGCCAGGAGATATCATGAGAAGAGAGATTTAAGGATTCATAAATAAAATGAGCAGCTAAGGAAATTGGGGAAAATGTACCTAAGATTCCCCAAATATTTAGATAGAATTAATAAAAACATAAGATATTAGCAGCTAAAACTCAAGTTATTACTTACTAATTACTAATCAACTCAAAATATTAAAATAGAAAAGTATTACAAACCTTGAAGTCACAAATCTAAATTATTTCACCAGATAGCCACAGCATCAAAAATTTCTGAAATCAACCTTATTTGAAATTGAAAGCCTAGTTTCTAAATTTTAGTTTCTGAGTAAACTGTTCTGCACTGACGAAAACAAAATCGTTTTTTGGAACACAGTGATTAAGTAAACATAAACATAACACCCTAGTGCTCAGAGCCCAAAAAAGTCATTATCGATGACAACAGTGGGCCTCCCTGTTGCCGGGGGGTGTTGTCGTCAGCAGCTTTGCACATTTCTGCCTCCCCTGAGCGGGCATGATGCTCAGTACCATACACTGCCTGTCTTGTTTTAGCCTCACCACACCTTGCTCAGCATGTCATGAACCAGCTAATAGTGGACCTAAGTTCACTTTCTCTCTAAAGACTGTGTTTCCTTCATTACATCCTGCTGCTCTGTGTTTATGGTGAACATTTGTTGCCTTTAGGTGCCTTCCCTTAGCTTTGTCATGTCTGTGGACCTGAGAGTTTATGTCAAAATAGGTATTGGTGATAACTTAACTGTCTTCAAGGTAGTGTAGTGTAGTCCAAAGAAAGTTTGTCATATTTTGGCTACAACCATGACATGAGTCAGAGGGAAATGTTCTCTTGAAACCTCTGTGGCTTTGCTGTTGTGAAATTTTAATGAAGAAGGGCATAATACACGGGTAGTGGCACAGCTTGAAGAAGAAGGGAAGCTGATTAACAGTGTATCTGCTTCTCCATAGGGACCATTGTTGTGGAAGGCCACGAATTGCATGATGAAGACATCCGCCTCATGTACACCTTTGATCAGGCCACAGGTGGGACTGCACAATTTGAAGCACACTCAGATGCTCAGGTATTTTTCTGTTTCCTAAAACATTTCTTTACCAAGAGGTGAGAGCATAAGAGGAGAAAGCATTTGCCTATGCCTTTCCTGATGATGTTGACAATTTGTCTCAGGGTGAAATAAACCAGTTACTTGGTTTAGATTGGCTTTGTTAAAGTAATATATCATTATGCCCTTAACATATGCATTTGTTTAATAAATATATAAATAAGTATCTTGCAATTTCTTCATGTGAGTAATTGTCCCAAGTGTGGGGTTGCACACAAATGAACCCTCCAGGCTGGGTGCAGCAGCTCACGCTTGTAATTCCAGCACTTTCAGAGGCTGAGGCAGGCAGATCATGAGGTCAGAAGATTGAGACCAGCCTGGCTAAGATGGTGAAACCCAGTATGTACTAAAAATACAAAACATTAGCCAGGCGTAGTGACACGTGCCTGTAGTCCCCGCTAGTTTGGAGGCTGAGGCAGGAGGATCGCTTGAACCCAGGATGTGGAGGTTGCAGTGAGCCGAAATTGCACCACTGAACTCTAGCCTGGGCAATAGAGAGAGACTCCATCTCAAAAAAAGAAAAAAATGAACTCCTCAAGGAATGTGTTAGTCAAGGACACATGAAATTAAGCCATTGCTTAGTATTCTACCTGATAAGTTATCTGGTAGAAATAAGTACACAGAGGGCTCTTATCCAAAAATTGGCGTAGAGGTGAAAGTGGTCAGGAAACACTGAAGAAACTGTACAGGCTGTTTTTGATTCTGGTTTCAGTATTTTTTGCCATGTTGGAGAAGGGACTAACTCTTTGCAGTCCTAACCAGACATCTGCAGTTGGCATAGTTGTAAGATCTCATGTGTGGTTTTAGGGATATCTGTGCTTAGCATACCATTTGCAGAGGAAGGTAGACCTCCATGAAAGAAGGTCCACCTCCTCAGTCCTTTATCCAGGCGCTTAAGTTAGATGTGTACAGAATTCCACATGGGCAGACAGTGGCAAGGAGTCAGAGGTATCGTAGCCTGGAAAGAAGGTGGGGGGAAGGCGGGGAGGAGGTTTGTAAACACTGACAGTGGGCAGTCTTCCTCGTTACAACAAACGTTTGGGACCTGAAAAGTTGTTCACACTTACAAACTTGTCATCACGTGATGCTTCTGAGTTTCTTGACATGGCTTAGATATTGTAGTGGGCTTGGTGGCCCTGCACTTACTGGAGTTTTGATCTTATCATCCACTTCATTACCTCTGATGCCTTTGTGAAGTGAGTCATTTCTTTTTTTGAGGCGGAGTTCCACTCTGTCACCCAGGCTGGAGTGCAATGGCACGATCTTGGTTCACTGCAACCTCTGCCACCTGGGTTCAAGGAATTCTCCTGCCTCAGCCTTCCAAGTAGCTGGGATTACAGGCATCTGCTGCTGTGGCTGGCTAATTTTTGTATTAGTATAGATGGGGTTTCACCATCTTGGCCAGGATAGTTTTGAACTTCTGACCTTGTGACCCACCCGCCTTGGCCTCCCAAAGTGCTGGGATTACAAGTGTCAGCCATTGCACCCAGCCATGAGTCATTTCTTTTTTTTTTTTTGGCCCTAAGTTAGAATCCATGGACTAGAGTGGATGTGGCATGCATGATTCATTTCTTAACTTCTCTTTTTGCTCAAAGGTAAATGAGATGATGCCTAATTTACAAGTTTTGTAAAGTGTATTCTACTCTGCAGTGTGCTGTGTAACAGAAGTGATGGTGTCATATTGCTGCATTATAATCAACAACCTTCAGAATAGATGAGATAGAAACATTAACCTTAGCAAAAATATGGCAGTTTAAATTAAGTCAGAATGTTTTGTGGTTCGTTGTAGAATTAGTCTTTAGTCATTCTGACAAACCTGAAGATCATAGGGGTCGTGGTATAAGAAAGTCAGAGTTGACTGCTGTGAGGCCTTTGACCCACCTGTTGTGGCCTGAAAAGCTGTGTTGTTCCAAGGGCTTCATGATTATTGATCTTATTTATTAGAAGAGTTAATATTACTTCTTAGATGGCCGAAAAGCAGAGTCATGTGAGGGATTCAAGAGGTGGCTTCAGGGCATCTTCTGTGAGCAGCACTCTACAAAACAAGAAGAAACAAAAAGCTGCACACCTTTCTCCAGAGATAGAGGACTGGTGGGTTATGAAGAAGTACCTGAATAATAAACTAGATTAATTTTATTGCTTTTGCTGATTTGTGTGAACAAACAGTGCTGCATTAAAGAGTCTCCAGGTTAAGTTTTAAATGGCATTTTGCTGAGTTGGGAAGAAGTGTTTCTCCTTATTTGATTGTCATGCTATGGTCTGCACTGTTCATTCCCACAGGCTTTGGTCCTCTTAGATGTCACTCCTGACCAGTCAATGGTGGATGAAGGAATGGCTCGGGAAGTCATCAATCGCATACAGAAACTTCGCAAAAAGGTTAGTTTGTCAGTTAAGAATGAGCTACTGTTTTGGCATTTTATTTTGGTTGTAGGGGGAAGATAGGAGAGGCAGGTAATATAAACCATAGTGATCAGTGCATGACAGTCACTGATCTACAGTCTATTTGGATTGTATTCTGCGGGAAAGTCACTCCTCTTCCCCTCCCCATATGTTCACTCCCAAGCTGTAGCTTTCAGTCAGCCTGTGCTTTTTCCCATCCTTTTTTTTTTTTTTAATTTTTTATTGCATTTTAGGTTTTGGGGTACATGAACAGAGCATGCAAGACAGTTGCGTAGGTACACACATGGCAGTGTGTTTTGCTTCCTATCTCCCCTTCACCCACATTTGGCATTTCTCCCCAGGTTATCCCTCCCCACCTCCCCCTCCCACTGGCCCTACCCTTTTCCCCCCAGTAGACCCCAGTGTTTAGTACTCCCCTCCCTGTGTCCATGTGTTCTCATTTTTCATCACCTGCCTATGAGTGAGAATATGCGGTGTTTCATTTTCTGTTCTTGTGTCAGTTTGCTGAGGATGATGTTCTCCAGATTCATCCATGTCCCTACAAAGGACAGCAACTCACCATTTTTGATTGCTGCATAATATTCCATGGTGTATATGTGCCACATTTTTCCAATCCAGTCTATTATCAATGGGCATTTGGGTTGATTCCAGGTCTTTGCTATTGTAAACAGTGCTGCAATGAACATTCGTGTACATGTGTCCTTATAGTAGAACGATTTATAGTCTTTTGGATATATACCCAGTAATGGGATTGCTGGGTCAAATGGAATTTCTATTTCTAAGGCCTTGAGGAATCGCCACACTGTCTTCCACAATGGTTGAACTAATTTACACTCCCACCAACAGTGTAAAAGTGTTCCTTTTTCTCCACATCCTCTCCAGCATCTGTTGTCTCCAGATTTTTTAATGATCGCCATTCTAACTGGCGTGAGATGGTATCTCAATGTGTGTTTGATTTGCATCTCTCTGATGACCAGTGACGAGCATTTTTTCATATGATTGTTGGCCTCATATATGTCTTCTTTCGTAAAGTGTCCGTTCATATCCTTTCCCCACTTTTGAATGGGCTTGTTTGTTTTTTTCCTATAAATCTGTTTGAGTTCTTTGTAAATTCTGGATATCAGCCCTTTGTCAGATGGGTAAACTGCAAAAATTTTTTCCCATTCTGTTGGTTGCCGATTCACTTTAGTGACTGTTTCTTTTGCTGTGCAGAAGCTGTGGAGTTTGATTAGGTCCCATTTGTCTATTTTGGCTTTTGTTGCCAATGCTTTTGGTGTTTTGTTCATGAAGTCCTTGCCTACTCCTATGTCCTGGATAGTTTTGCCTAGATTTCCTTCTAGGGTTTTTATGGTGCCAGGTCTTGTGTTTAAGTCTTTAATCCATCTGGAGTTAATTTTAGTGTAAGGTGTCAGGAAGGGGTCCAGTTTCTGCTTTCTGCACATGGCTAGCCAGTTTTCCCCACATCATTTGTTAAACAGGGAATCCTTTCCCCATTGCTTGTTTTTGTCAGGTTTATCAAAGATGGTATAGTTGTAGATATGTTGTGTTGCCTCCGGTGCCTCTGTTTTGTTCCATTGGTCTATATCTCTGTTTTGGTACCAGTACCATGCTGTTTTTATTACTGTAGCCTTGTAGTATAGTTTGAAATCCGGTAGTGTGATGCCCCCCGCTGTGTTCTTTTTACTTAGAATTGACTTGGCTATGCGGGCTCTCTTTTGGTTCCATATGAAGTTCATGGTGGTTTTTTCCAGTTCTGTGAAGAAAGTCAATGGTAGCTTGATGGGGATAGCGTTGATTCTGTAAATTACTTTGGGCAGTATAGCCATTTTCACGATATTAATTCTTCCTAACCATGAACATGGAATGTTTCTCCATCTGTTTGTGTCCTCTCTGATTTCGTTGAGCAGTGGTTTGTAGTTCTCCTTGAAGAGGTCCCTTACGTTCCTTGTAAGTTGTATTCCAAGGTATTTTATTCTTTTTGTAGCAATTGTGAATGGCAGTTCGTTCTTGATTTGGCTTTCTTTAAGTCTGTTATTGGTATAGACGAATGCTTGTGATTTTTGCACATTGATTTTATATCCTGAGACTTTGCTGAAGTTGCTTATCAGTTTCAGGAGTTTTTGGGCTGAGGCAACGGGGTCTTCTAGGTATACTATCATGTCGTCTGCAAATAGAGACAATTTGGCTTCCACCTTTCCTATTTGAATACCCTTTATTTCTTTTTCTTGCCTGATTGCTCTGGCTAGAACTTCCAGTACTATATTGAATAGGAGTGGTGAGAGAGGGCATCGTTGTCTAGTGCCAGAATTTAAAGGGAATGCTTCCAGTTTTTGCCCATTCAGTATGATATTGGCTGCATCAATTGAGATAATCATGTGGTTTTTGTTTTTCGTTCTGTTTATGTGGTGAATTACGTTTATAGACTTGCGTATGTTGAACCAGCCTTGCATCCCCGGGATGAATCCTACTTGATCATGGTGGATAAGCTTTTTGATGTGCTGTTGCAGTCGGCTTGCCAATATTTCATTGAAGATTTTTGCATCTATGTTCATCATGGATATTGGCCTGAAGTTTTCTTTTCTTGTTGGGTCTCTGCCGGGTTTTGGTATCAGGATGATGTTGGTCTTGTAAAATGATTTGGGAAGGCTTCCCTCTTTTTGGATTATTTGGAATCGTTTTAGAAGGAATGGTACCTGCTCCTCTTTGTGTGTCTGGTAGAATTCAGCTGTGAACCCGTCTGGACCTGGGCTTTTTTTGTGTGGTAGGCTCTTAATTGCTGCCTCGACTTCAGACCTTGTTATTGGTCTATTCATAGTTTCAGCTTCCTCCTGGTTTAGGCTTGGGAGGACACAGGAGTCCAGGAATTTATCCATTTCTTCCAGGTTTACTAGTTTATGTGCATAGAGTTGTTTGTAATATTCTCTGATGATGGTTTGAATTTCTGTGGAATCTGTGGTGATTTCCCCTTTATCATTTTTTATTGCATCTATTTGGTTGTTCTCTCTTTATTTTTAATCAATCTGGCTAGTGGTCTGTCTATTTCGTTGATCTTTTCCAAAAACCAGCTCTTGGTTTATTGATTTTTTGAAGGGTTTTTCATGTCTCAATCTCCTTCAGTTCAGCTCTGATCTTAGTTATTTCTTGTCTTCTGCTAGGTTTTGAGTTTTTTTGATCTTGCTCCTCTAGCTCTTTCAATTTTGACGATAGGGTGTCAATTTTGGATCTCTCCATTCTCCTCATATGGGCACTTATTGCTATATATTTTCCTCTAGAGACTGCTTTAAATGTGTCCCAGAGATTCTGGCATGTTGTGTCTTTGTCCTCATTGGTTTTGAAGAACTTCTTTATTTCTGTCTTCATTTCATTGTTTACCCAGTCAACATTCAAGAGCCAGTTGTTCAGTTTCCATGAAGCTGTGCGGTTCTGGGTTGGTTTCTGAATTCTGAGTTCTATCTTGATTGCACTATGGTCTGAGAGGCTGTTTGTTATGATTTCAGTTGTTTTGCATTTGCTGAGCAGTGCTTTACTTCCAACTATGTGGTCAATTTTAGAGTATGTGTGATGTGGTGCTGAGAAGAATGTGTATTCTGTGGATTTGGGGTGGAGAGTTCTGTAAATGTCTATCAGGTTTGCTTGCTCCATGTCCTAGTTCAAGCCCTGGATATCCTTGTTGATTTCTGTCTGGTTGATCTGTCTAATATTGACAGTGGAGTGTTAAAGTCTCCCACTATTATTGTGTGGGAGTCTAAGTCTCTTTGTAAGTCATTAAGAACTTGCCTTATGTATCTGGGTACTCCTGCATTAGGGCCATATATGTTCAGGATCGTTAGCTCTTCTTGTTGTACCGATCCGTTTAACATTATGTAATGGCCTTCTTTGTCTCTTTTGATCTTTGTTGCTTTAAAGTCTATTTTATCAGAGATGAGAATTGCAACTCCTGCTTTTTTTTGCTCTCCATTTGCTTGGTACATCTTCCTCCATCCCTTTATTTTGAGCCTTTGTGTATCCTTGCATGTGAGATGGGTTTCCTGGATACAGCACACTGATGGGTTTTGGATTTTTATCCAATGTGCCAGTCTGTGTCTTTTGATTGGTGCATTTAGTCCATTTACATTTAGGGTTAATATTGTTATGTGTGAATTTGATACTGCCATTTTGATGCTAAGTGGCTGTTTTGCCCGTTAGTTGTTGTAGATTCTTCATTATGTTGATGCTCTTTAGCATTTAGTGTGATTTTGGAATGGCTGGTACTGGTTGTTATTTTCTATGTGTAGTGCCTCTTTCAGGAGCTCTTGTAAAGCAGGCCTGGTGGTGACAAAATCTCTGAGTACTGGCTTGTTTGCAAAGGATTTTATTTTTCCTTCACTTCTGAAGCTCATTTTGGCTGGATATGAAATTCTGGGTTGAAAGTTCTTTTCTTTAAGAATGTTGAATATTGGTCCCCACTCTCTTCTGGCTTGTAGTGTTTCTGCCGAGAGATCTGCTGTGAGTCTGATGGACTTCCCTTTGTGGGTGACCCGACCTTTCTCTCTGGCTGCCCTTAGTATATTCTCCTTTATTTCAACCTTGTTGAATCTGACGATTATGTGCCTTGGGGTTGCTCTTCTTGCAGAATATCTTTGTGGTGTTCTCTGTATTTCCTGCATTTGAGTGTTGGCCTGTCTTGCTAGGTGGGGGAAATTTTCCTGGATGATGTCCTGAAGAGTATTTTCCAGCTTGGATTCATTCTCTTCGTCCCCTTCTGGTACACCTATCAAACGTAGGTTAGGTCTTTTCACATAGTCCCACATTTCTTGGAGACTTTGTTCATTCCTTTTTGCGCTTTTTTTCTCTAATCTTGGTTTCTCATTTTATTTCATTGAGTTGGTCTTCGACTTCAGATATTGTTTCTTCTGCTTGGTCAATTCGGCTATTGAAACTTGTGCATGCTTCGCGAAGTTCTCGTATTGTGTTTTTCAGCTCCTTTAATTCATTCATATTCCTCTCTAAGTTATCCATTCTTGTTATCATTTCCTCAAATCTTTTTTCAAATCTTTTTTCAAGGTTCTTAGTTTCTTTGCATTGATTTAATACATGTTCTTTTAGCTCACAAAAGTGTCTCATTATCTACCTTCTGAAGTCTAATTCCGTCATTTCGTCACAGCTAGGGAACTTGCTGGTGAGAAGTTTTGGTCCTTTCTAGGAGGCGAGGTGTTCTGGTGTCGGGTGTTTTCCTCCTTTTTGCACTGGTTTCTTCCCATCTTTGTGGATTTATCCACCTGTCGTCTGGGTCGTTGCTGACTTTTCGATTGGGTCTCTGAGGGGACACCCAGATTGTTGATGATGAAGTATTTCTGTTACTTGGTTTTCCTTCTACCGGTCTAGCCCCTTCGCTGTATGGCTGCTGAGGTCCACTTCAGGCCCTGCTTGTCTGGGGTGCACCTATAGCAGCTCTGGCACAGTGAGGGATGCTACCAGTTTCTTTTTCTGCTATCTTTGTCCCAGGATGATGCCTGCCAAATGTCAGTCTTTTGGATGAAGAGGGGTCAGGGAGCTGCTTGAGGAGAGTCTGTACTTTATAGGAGCTCAATTGCTGAGCTGTGAGCTCTGTTGTTCATTCAGGGCTGTTAGGCTGCTATGTTTGATTCTGCTGCAACAGAGCTCATAAAAAAACCCTTTTTTTCTCAAATGCTCTGTGTTGGGGGGTTCGGGCTTTATTTTTGGATGTCCGTTGCAGTGTCCTGCCCAGCTAGGAGGCAGTCTAGTCACTGTTTGCCTGCCGAGGCTCCGCCCTGCTGTTTTGTGGTTCGCCCTGTTGCTGCAGGCTCTGCTCTTCTGCTGCAGTCTCCGCCACGGGCTACGGGGCTACGCCCTGCGGCGGAGTCTCTCTGTTGTAGCGCGTTGCCTCGGCAATGGCAGGCTGCGTCAGCAGTGGGCGTGTATCTCAGTAGGGGCGGGTTGCCTCGGTAATGGTGGACGTCTCTCCCCCACAGAGGGTCTCAGGGACCATCTGCACGGGGAGCGTTTGGAATCGTGGTTTTGTCCGTCCCACTGGGAATCAGTTCAGAAATGTGTTAAGTGTGTTCTGAGTTATTTCTTGGTTTCAACATTCATGAGGCACTGATTGTGGCAGGAAAAGAAACATGCCCTATCCCCAAAGAGTTGGGGAAAGGACACAAAGGTAATCCTGTACTGCAGTGCAGTTAGTCTCATAGATCACCCAGCAGGGAGGGACCGGTGATTGCCCTTCCATGATGATTCAGTATGGGATCTGTAGCCTTATTTAACGGTACCATCTTTAAGTTCTGATTAGTAGAATGTACTTTCCTTTTAAAATTTTCTGTGTGTGCTTTCAGTGCCATCTGGTTCCAACTGATGAAATCACAGTGTATTACAACGCGAAGTCTGAAGGAAGATATCTGAATAACATTATTGAAAGCCACACAGAGTTCATATTTGCCACCATAAAGGCTCCCTTAAAACCATATCCAGTTCCTCCACCAGATGAAATCCTTATTCAAGAAAAAACACAGGTGAGTACTGAGCTCCGCTGAACTGCTAAAATATTTCTGATTAGGTTTATTTTATGTACTCACATGTTGATATTCTTTCCCCCAGTAGAGGTTGGCACAGCACTCAGTCTTGAAGTATTGCTCTGGACAGTAGTGGATAGAGCTAGAGAGTGGAAGCTGAGACAAGATGGAGGGGGGATAGGAGGCAGAACTGTTCTCACAACTTTTCTCTTGAGGAAGGTAGCCAGGAGAGTAGATGAGCTTTGCCCAGAAATAAAATGGCTATGTGGGCCTGTTTTTCTAAAACTGGCAAAGTCAGTGTGTGGATTCTGGTAATTATCATTAAAAGTAAACAGCAGTTGGCTTGAAAAACATTTAATTCTTCTGGTAGTGGGTTCTCCATAAAATTAAAATACAAAAAAAGAAAAATCACAATAGCATTTTCTATTGTTATATCTAGGAATTTTAGATATACTTCTGAAAGTCACATATTAAGGTAGGGCAGATACTGGCTTATAACTTATAAGTAGATCATTTAGGCCAGGCACAGTGGCTCATGCCTGTAATCACAGCTACTGGGCAGGCTGAGGCAGGAGAATCATTTGAACACAGGAGGTGGGGTTTGCAATGAGCCAAGATCACATCACTGCCTAGATGACAGAGCAAGACCCTGTCTCCGGAAAAAAAAAAAAAAAAAGGTAGTTCATTTAAAATATGTCTCAGTCACTTATTTAATTATTTTCTCCTGTCTCATTCTTTCTATGGGACAAGTAGGACAAGACAAGAAGGGGCTGACCATGGCTGTTTATCTTTTCAGTGAGGCGAGTTATAGTGTAGTTTCATTTTCTGTTTTGTATAATGTGTTACTTTTTTTACTTTTTTTTTAAGTGAGCATATATTTTTAAGAGAGCAGAATTAAAGGAGAAAAAATGGGATATACATTGTAGCTTTTGACTCTTTGAATAATGAGATTGAATTTGTTCTCAGTTGTATACAGCCTTTGTTGTTATTGAGAAGTCACTGTGTTACATGATGGTGTGGCACATGGCAGTCAGGTGCCGCAGTTACTCAGCCATATGTTCTCCTGTGCTCAGTTGAAGGGATCTGAACTGGAAATTACACTTACCAGAGGATCTTCCCTTCCTGGTCCTGCTTGTGCTTATGTCAATCTTAACATTTGTGCAAATGGCAGTGAACAAGGTAAGTGTAAATCCATGCTTTGTATGACTGTTTCTTAGTTAAACCTGTGGATGTGAAAAAACAACCAAAAAAAATTTTGGATGTTTTTAAGGGAATTGGAAAAAGTATTTAATAGATAACTTTTTCCTCTTAATTATCATCAAAATGAATTCACTAGGTGAGATGCAGTGGCTCATTCCTGTAATCCTACCACTTTTGGAAGCCGAGGTGAGAGGATTACTTGAGGCCAAGAGTTCAAGACTAAACTGGCCAACATGATAAGACCCTGCCTCAATTTAAAAAAAAAAATGAAGGCCAAGTTCCGTGACTCATGCCTGTAATCCCAGCATTTTGGGAGGCCAAGGCGGGTAGATTACTTGAGGTCAGGAGTTCGAGACCAGCCTGACCAACATGGTAAAAGCCCATCTCTACTAAAAATACAATAAGTAACCAGGTGTGGTGCCGGGCACCTGTAATCTCAGCTACCTGGGAGGCTGAGGCATGAGAATTGCTTGAACCTGGGATGTGGAGATCACAGTGAGCCGAAATATTTTTAGACAATAACTGCTCTACTCTAGGCAGACACCATAGAAAAAACTATGGTCCCACCACCACCCATACCAGCAAAAGCCAAGTAGGGAGCCTGGACTTCACTATTGACAAGCTGAAGACCTCTCCGCTGTCACAGGGGTATCAGAGAAGACCAAGTAGGGAGCTGGGTCATCCTAGTGGAACAGTAATGAGCCCCTCTGCCCAGTGGTATCAGTTGAGGCCACATGGGAGGCCTGAATTTCTATCCCCTTTGGGCAGTAACAAGGCATCCCTCCCATTCACAAATGCATGGCAGCAATGAGGCCACATACTACCAGCACCTCCTTTGCAGTGTCAGTAAAGGTATGCGTGAAACCCAAACAGGGTAAACCCAAAAGAATCCATGTCAACATACATCATAATCAAACTTCTGAAAACCGAAGACAAAAAAAATGTCTTATATGCAGTGAAAGAGATATAACACCTAATTTAGAGGGGAAGAACAATTCAAATGATACTGGGTTTATCATTAGGAACTACAGAGGCCAGAAAATGAAAAGGTGGCATTTTTCAAGTGCTGAAAGATAAGTATTGTCTACCAAGAATTCTGTATCAATCAGACATATCTTTCAGGATGATGGGAAAATCAAGACATTCTCAAATGAAAGAAAACTAAGAATTTGTTGCCAGCAGACCAGTCCTAAAAGAGTAGCTACAGGAAGTTCTTAACACAGAAAGGAAATAATAAAAGTGGGAATTTAGACACACCAGGAAGGAATAATGGGAAATCAAATTAGAGGGTAGTTCAATAGACTTTCAGTCCTCTCATGGGTGCACCAAGCACTGTATCATTTTTTGATGTGTTTCTCTGTGTATGTACACTGAGGCTTCAACATCATCAGTGGGTTCTTGGGTCCTGCAATTTTAAGTGAGAGGATGTACTGTGTGCCATGGGAATGTAACTCCTGTGGTAAAGTTGGTTTATTATACAGTACATCATTCTGCTTAAAGTCATGTTTCCAAGAACCTACCAGCAACATTAAGTAAGGACTTACTGAACAAGTAATAGTTAAGACAGTTACAAAGGAGACCAGGTTTCTACATTTATCACAAACTGGTAAAATACTGAGACCAATGAACCTTAGGAAGTTATGTTTATATTAGGTACTACTTGGAGTTACCAGTAAGAAAAGACTATACCACAGGATACATATAAAACCCTAGAAAAATGGAAAATTGAATTCTAAAATGTTTAACTGGGCTAGTCCATTTTTCATTGCTATAAAGGAATACCTGAGGCTGGATAGTTTGTAAAGAAGAAAAGTTTATTTGGCTCACAGTTCTGCAGGATGTACAAGAAGCATGGCACCAGCATCTGCTTCTGGTAGGGACCTCAAGAAGCTTTTACTCTGCTTTACAGAAGGTGAAGTGGGAGCAAGTATATCACATGATGAGAGAGGGAGCAAGATAGAAGCCAGGCTCTTTGAAACAACCAGCTATCACATGAACAGAGTGAGAACTCATTACTGCAGCAAGGCCACCAAGCCATTCATGAAGGATCTGCCCCAGTGACCCAAACACCTCCTACTAAGCGCCACTTTTCAACATTGATTTGGAGGGGACAAACATCCAAACTATATCAGCAACCCACAAGAAGCTAGGAGAGAACAATCAGAACAAATACACCAGATGCAGTGGCTCATGCCTGTAATTCCAGCAGTTTGGGAGGCCAAGATGGGCAGATCAACTGAGGTCAGGAGTTCAAGACAAGCCTGGCCAACATGATGAAACCCCACCTCTACTAAAAATAAAAAGATTAGCCAGGCATGGTGTCAGGTGCCTGTAGACCCAGCTACTTGGGAGGCTGAGGGAGGACAACCACCTGAACCTAGGAGGTTGAGGTTGTGGTGAGGCAATACTGCCCTCCAGCCTGGGTGACGGAGTGCGAGACACTGTTTCAGAACAAACAAAAGATGAGCAGAGTTATTAAAAACACATTAGCCAAATATATGCTGTCTGTAAGAAACTTCAAATATAATAATACAAGTGAGTTGAAAGTAAAAGGTTAGAAAAATATATACTATGCAAACATTAATGAAAAGAAGCAGGGCTGGTCATGTTTGTATTAGATGAAACAGACTTCAGAACAGAGAAAATAACCAGGGGCATTAAATAATGATAGACATGTCAATACACAAAGAAAACAGAGTGATCCTAAACTTATATGCATCTAACAAAGGAGCTACAAAATACATGAAATAAAAAGATACAGACATTAAAGAAGAAATAGACAAATCCACAACTATAGTTGGAGACTTCAGCATACCTTTTTCAGTAATTGATAGACCACTTAGAACACCTCACCCAAAAATAGCAGAATATAAATTATTTTCAAGCTCTCACAGAACTTAGATACAGTATAACCTGGGCCATAAAACAAACCTCGACCAGTTAGTAGAGTTGAAATCAGAGTGTGCTCCCTGATAACAGTAGAATCAAACAATTAGTAGTAGAACAATAAAAGGAAAATCTCCACACTCTCAGGAATAAACAACATACATTATCTGTGATTAGGGAAGAAGTCTCAAGAGGAAAAAAACATAGAACTGAGTGAAAAGGAAGATACGACATCAAAGTATGTGGCATGTGGCTAAAGCAGTCCTACGAGGGAAATCTGTTGCACTAAAAACTGTAAGAAATATGGTTTTAAATCATAATGTCTAAACTCAAGAAACTAGATCAGAAAAAAATAAAATAAAATAAATGCAAAGTAAGAAGGAAAGACATAAAAATAAGAGAATAAATCAGTGCAATTGAAAATAGGAAAATGAGGGCCAGGCACGGTGGCTCAAGCCTGTAATCCCAGCACTTTGGGAGGCCGAGGTGGTTGGATCACAAGGTCGAGAGAGCGAGACCATCCTGGTCAACATGGTGAAACCCTGTCTCTACTAAAAATACAAAAAATTAGCTGGGCATGGTGGCGCATGCCTGTAATCCCAGCTACACAGGAGGCTAAGGCAGGAGAATTGCCTGAACCCAGGAGGTGGAGGTTGCGGTGAGCTGAGATTGCGCCATTGCACTCCAGCCTGGGTAAGAAGAGCAAAATTCCGTCTCAACAGAAAAAATAGGAAAACAAGAGAAAATGATACAAAAATCTGGTTCTTACCAAAAAATTCGTCAAAATTAATCTGTAGTGAGACTAATAAAGAGAAAGAAGACACAGTTGCATATCAGGAATAAAAAAAATGATCAATACAGACTGCAGAAATCAAAGAGATATGCAAATACTGTGAATAAATCTGCATATGTAAGTCTGACAACTTGAAGTGACCCAATTTTTTTTTTTTTTTTCAGACAGGGTCTCACTTTGTCTCCCAGGCTGGCGTGCAGAGTGGTGCAATCTCAGCTCACTGCAACCTCCACCTCCTGGGTTCAAGCAATTCTCGTGCATCAGCCTCCCAAGTAGCTAGAATTACAGGTGTGCGACACCATACCTGGTTAATTTTTGTGTTTTTTGTAGAGATAGGGTTTCACCCTGTTGGCCACGCCCGTCTCAAACTCCTGGCCTCAAGTGATCTGCCATTCTTCGCCTCCCAAGGTGCTGGGATTACAGGTGTGAGCCGCTGTGCCTGGCCTGAAATGAACCCTGTTTTTAAAAAGCACAAACTACTACAACTCACATGATATGCAATAGATTATTTTAATGGCCCTGTAATTATTAAGGAGACTGAATTCATAATTTTAAATCTCTAAATTAATGTCCATGCCCAGTTTCACTGGAGAATTCTTACCAGAATTAACACCAGTTCTACATAGATTCATCCAGAAAATATAAGAGGAAGGAACATGTTACTCATTTTATGTGGTTATTACCCCAGTATCAAAACCAGATAAAGACAGTGTTAAGAAAATGATAGGTCAAGCACCATGGCTCACACCTGTGATCGCAGCACTTTGGGAGGCTGAGGCAGGTGGATCACCTGAGGTCAGGAGTTCAAGACCAGCCTGACCAACATGGTGAAACCTCATCTGTACTAAAAATACAAAAATTAGCAGGATGTTGGGTGGGGGGCGCCTATAATCTCAGCTACTCAGGAGGCTGAGGCGGGAGAATTGCTGGAACCTAGGCGTGAGAAGTTGCAGTGAGCCCAATATTGTGCCATTGCACTCCAACCTAGGTCAACAACAGGAAGACTCCATCTCAAAAACAAAAAAGAAAAAACAGATATTCCTTGTGAACGTAAATATAAAATTCTTACCAATAAATTATTAGGTAGAATTGAGCTATATGTACAAAGAATTATGCATCAACACCAAGTGGGATTTATTCCAGGGATGCAAGGCTGATACAATATTTAAAAATCAATGTAATTATCATTTTATCAAACTAAAAGATTGCATGACTACAGCAGTTGATTCAGAAAAAGCATTTGATGAAATTCAACACCCATTTGTGATGAAAATCCTCACAAAAATGGGAAGAGAGGAGA